CTTTATTCCTATATCCAGGTCTGTAATAAAGATGTTCCACTTTATTCCATGCTGATTAGGCCTCAACTGGAGTAGTGTGTCCAGTTCTGGGTGCCACATTTTAGGAAAGCTGTGGGCAAACTGGAGAAAGTTCAGAGAAGAACAAAAAAAATGATTAAAGGTCTAGAAAACATGACCTATGAGGGAAGATTGAAAAAATTGGGTTTGTTTAGTCTGGAGAAGAGAAGACTCAGAGGGGACATTGTAACAGTTTTCAAGTACATAAAAGGTTGTTATGAGGAAGAGGGAGAAAAATTGTTCTCCTTAACCTCTGAGGATAGGACAAGAAGCAGTTGGCTTAATTGCAGCAATGGAGGTTTAGGCTGGACATTAGGAAAATCTTCCTGTCATGGTAGTTAAGCGCTGGAATAAATTGCCTAGGGAGGCTGTGGAACCTCCGTCATTGGAGATTTTTAAGAACCGGTAAACACCGGTCAGGGATGGTCTAGATCAGTGGTACTTAACCTATTTACCATTGTGGGCTGCATCCACTACTACTTATATGGCCCTGAGGATGTCACATGGACCGCAGCTCTGTGCTGATTGGGCTGCAGGTTGAGAAACACTGGTCTAGATAATACTTAGTCCTGCCTTGAGTGCAGGGGACTGGACTAGATGACCTCTCGAGGTCCCTTCCAGTCCTATGATTCTATGTTAAACACCACCGGACCCAGACCAGATCCCTGTGAAACCCCACTTGAGACCTTGCTCCAATCTGACAACATGCCGTTACTAGTTACTCTTTCTTTGCAGTTATCAGTACAGCTTATTCCTGTACAAATACACCAGCACACTGGGATATTTGTGGCCACATTAGAGGATTGAACTACTTTAACTATAGCTGTTTCTCAACTCATATGATAAGAATGATACAGAGACTGTGTAGATCAACCCTTGCAAGTGTCCTACAGAACCTCCCACTGAATCCCCTGTTCAGGGATCCTAGAGTAAAATCCACTTTGCACAAACTTTGTCCAGTCTCATTAACTTTATGATTTGGTATTTCCCAACAGGCAGGGTTCTACTTAGGGGGGCTATAGAAAAAGTAGATGAGAGTTTGAAAGCTCAAACATTAACACCAGAGCTTCCCAAAAGCTGGAGTCATAGTTAGTGTGTTTTTAACAACAAATAGCATGTGTTACACTGTTTTAACACAGAGAATGCTTCTCAGATGTAGTTTCAGCTAGTTAATATGCTGCAGACCCAGCCAAATAGGATATTTAATCTTCATATGGTTGAACTCATGACCTTTAAACATCAAATACCAGCTGTAAAGAAACACGATTTCTTAATACTTTCCTATGAGTGTGCTCTGACAGCATGCTTTCTAAAGAGATCCCTTAAACACTGCACTAGTTGTCTATTTTCCCACACAGTCTGGCAGAATAAAATAGTTCACATTTCCAAGTAATCTACAAAATTTGCACAGACGCGGCTAAGAGAATCTTAGCAGCCAGAGATACCTGCCTCTTCTGCACAGGGCATCCCCAGGCCACGATCTTTCCAGGTGGGCTCTTACTTTCAATAACCTGAGCAGATGCAAGACACAAGACCCAAAGTCCTCACAATAGGGCCACCTCAGAACACAATCATGATTGCTTAGAGAAAGCAGACAACACATTATGCCAGACTCACAATTCTCTTGTGTCCCCCCCGGACACATAACCAACCACCAGCATAACGTTTTAGGAATGTTTTTGCAAATCAAGAACTACATCTTGTCACATAAGAAAATGTACAAGTTTCCAGTTACTGACAGACAAGACAGTATACAACATTTTACTACCAAGGGTTTTCATGGACCTGTCCCAGTAAGGTGGGACCTCTGACTTCAAACAGTGGGATCAAGAAGCCACAAGACAAAAGGGCCCCAGTCAAGAATCCAGCATGCGCAGATCCCAAACAGCACTCTCCACAATGCTGCCCATTTCTGTGCATGTGCGTGTATCACTGGAAGCTAATGTTTTATGTTCAGAGATTTTACTCTGAAATAAGACATCGGTTTCACACTAGCCAAAAGCAAAGTTATTTTAGGAACTACACTTGTATATAGTGTCAACAGCAATTATTTGGGGGTATACAGTAATTAGAGTAGCAGTCCCCACTGCATTTGAGGAGGAGGAGCAGGCATGTACTTGATTATGGAAGTACATTAAAGGGCTAACCTTACCTCTCAACATTTTCTAATTGGAGGAGGAAATCTCAAAGTAAAATCTATGATTCTGCTACCAGCAAGCTGAAACAAAACCCTCACCAGCCACTATCTATGTGGGGTCCATGTTAGGGCTTTGAGCTCCCTCTGTCAGTTATACACCACCTGTTCTTCCTAGAGAAAACACACTGTCAGGTTGGATGGGATTTGGAACTGCACTTTGCTTTGGAATCACCAATGGACTGCATGGCAAAGGCATGGCTACTCACTGCAGCTTTAGATCTAGCTTTTCCACTGTCAACCAGATCTTTACCTTGAAACTGCTTTTTGAGAAGGTGTCTGAATTTAATAAGTCCTGAACAACACTTTTTATAGACTTCTGTCAGGCCTCTGATTCAACGCCTCATGCAAGTGTGTGGGATTTGATGAAATGACTTAGTGTCATTGACAGAAGAGCTCTATAATGGAACGGAAAGCTACACTTGACTCAATGGCAGATACACAGCTTGGTTTCCTAGCTCCACAGGAGTTTGGAAAGGCTGCGTTCAGTCATGATCGTTGTTCAGTTTCGGCACTATTGGTTAATGGATAAACTTGAGGAGGCAGCTGTTGGTGACGCTGTGCTGAACACCATTGCACTCCGAGATCTTGAATACGGAGATGACATTGTCTTGTTGGCTCAGTCTGGTGTATCTACAACTGATGGCTGATCTGGTCAGGCAAGAAGCAGCATGCATTGGTCTGGTTATTAATCCAGATAAAATTAGGTCCCTGGCCATTACCATCAAGCAACCTCCAGCTCCAGATTACAACCAGTTTACTATTAACTTGTTTGGATGAAATACTGAAAAGATGGGAACTGTCAGATAATTGGGCAGCATCAGAGACAGTGCTGGAGGAGGATGCTTGAAAGATGTGGACACTTGTACAGCAGAACGTGACGCCACATTTCAGGCCCTTCAGTGGCCGCTGTGAGGCTATCATAACATCAAGCTTGCTACAAAGCTGTGGATCCACAGAACCACGGTTATATCAACTCTGTTGTACGGAAGTGAAACATGGGTGCTGAGGAAGGCTGAAGAACATAGGCATGACATTTTCAATTCTCATAGTCTTCATCAACTGTTCTGTATCAAATAGCAGGACAAGATCAGAAACAAGGACATTTGAAGCTGAACCCAGCAACCACGTCCTTCAGCACTGGTTTATTTTCAGCAGCTTTCTTGATATGGACATATCAGTATGAAAGACCAACTAATTCTGAAGCACATTTACTAAGGAACGCCGCTACATGGCCAGTGATCATGTGGGTGCCCAAAACTTTAATGGTGTGATAAAACTGCCAGTGATAGAATCATAGAATAGAATATCAGGGTTGGAAGGGACCTCAGGAGGTCATCTAGTCCAACCCCTGAGAAAAATACCATCTTCAGGGGGGTTTGAACCATCAGCCTTTCAATCATCAGCTACAGTTGTTAATCACAAACACAGGTAACTGCCTCAAAAAATAAAAATTCCATTGTGTGGAACCATATTGACATCCACAAGGATCATCATCAGGGTTGGAACCTTTACCTTCGCTACACTGCCACTTGAGCTAACTGAATAACGGACAGCTGTAGTAGGTTGTCATCCTAACCTGACAAACTGAACATCCAGCTCAACCACCTTAAGGTCCTATCCAGAGATCAATCCAGGAGGCACTTGATCTGCAAGGAGGCCATGTCTGTTTGGGATTTACCACAATGATGATGACTGGTTTTGAAATATGCTACTTTAGCTCATCTGGTCACAGAGTCCAATTCCAATGGTACATTGGCTAGTGAAGGACCGACCCAACATACTCTCCCAGTTGTAATACCACAGGTGTTGTATAAGAGTGCCCTTACTTGTAAGGCCTACTTCATGCCAACTAGCAAATGGTATCTTGCTCCAGGAAGAATCTCCATGATTTGTGCAAAGATTCGCTCATACTCTACTGGGGGCAGAACAAGCACCAAAATCCCATCACCAAACCAAGAAAACTTCTACATGCTGATCTCTGAATTAATTTCCTTCCTCATTCTGCAAACCCCTGCCACAGATGATTCTGAAGTCAGACATAATCAGAAGCCAGATCAGTTTTCTGTGCTATATTTTATTGCTAGCTTCTCCCCCACTTTTGGAGGGACTGCGTGCACTGAAGTCTGGAGCAAATACTAACACTGTGCAAGCCAGTCAGAAATCCAAGACTCCTTCCCCATTGAGAAGGTCCCCCAGCTACTCTTCCCAGAGATTCATTTGACAGAGGCTGTATTTGAAATTTGGTGATGAGGCAAATAATTTAAAAATAGAATTGAAAGTTCTAGACAAATCTAAACAATTAATAGTCACCCAAACTGGTAAAATCCACTGGTGTGGTTACCTGTCAAATAACTGTCCCCATATATTTCCAGCCAACATTAACAAGAGCAGCTGATTAGCTTGGTCCTACCTGGAGGAAGGAAGCCCTGGGCACAGTGACAAAGCAAGATGGAATGTACATGAATCTACCTACTAAAACAGAAAAGAAAACAGATCCATTGCCTTGTGCTCCTCAGACATGGAGACCCCTCTTCCCCTCCCCAATGTCTACTGGAGCTTCCAGCTGGGAAGTTTCTCTAGATGAAGAGGCAGAGTCCAGTCACGCAAATAAACTGACCATGTGCATTTCTCAAAGATATGATCATTTACAAGTGCACCAGCTCTCAAGGGAACCTGAATCCTCGGTAATTCCCTCAGTCTGACAATGGGGAAAAGCTCTAAAGCTCCTTTGCAAACAGGCACTTAATTAACGAAGATCTCTCCTTTTTATTACAGAAAGATAGAGGATCGGAGTAAATGGCATGACACAATGGGTGTGCTGTGAGTAGGCGTTGTGGTGCACACAGAGAGCAGATACCAATCTGGAACAGGTAGCAGAGTATTAAGAAACAGTGGCAAAGCCATTTCTGACATTACCTGCCAGTCAGTGATTAGTGACATTTCTCAGATAGCCCTGCAGGTCTTAATCTGATACAAAGGAAACAAACATCACTTCTAGCATCTACTCTAGAGGTAAAAGTGTTGTCATCTTTTTCACAGCATTTGGTGTTCAAAGTTCACTTTTCTTGTGACCAGTTTTCTGTTTGAACCTACCCAGGAAAAAAAAAAAAAAAGAAATCCCAGTGCATCAACAGATGGGGCTTTCTCTGCTCAGTTAGCCAAGCAAGGAGGTAGATGTTCAGAGATGTTCTCTTCAGACGGAGCACAGAAAAGGACTTTATACTGCTTGGCTGGCACCAGGGTACTGGCAGGGCATCATCATGAGATGCTTTAGAGTGGCATCAGGACTCGTCCTCCAGCTACATCTGATCCAGGTATTCTTGGTGGCTAAAAGGGAAAAGCATCTTTGATTAGCTGTTACACTATTTCATGATGGATATGTGATATGACAGGGTATTTGTGTAATGAGTACTGGGGTAACCTACCCACTTTATTCAGCAGGGCAATGCTTTCTGAACAGCTGTTGGAAAGAATCTAACCCTCCATCACAGCATTCTTCATTTGTTTGAATTACTGCAGTTTTGTTTGAGCCGCCCAAGAATGGCACATAGTTCTCCCTTTGTTGCCTGTGAAGATGCAATTACAAACCCTCCTCCCCCGCAGAGCTGTGCTTCCCATGTTAGCTGTACAGAAGCAGGTCACAAGCCAACACTAATCTCAGAGTTGTGAAGATCACGGGTGGCACTGGTGTGAGAATAAGGAAGTATGAAGTGTGTGCTGGGCTTCTCTGGCTTAAACCAGTGTTTCCCAAAGGACAGAGGCAGCTGGCAAGGGGCCACACAAAGGGACATACAGACCAGAATTGCCAGTCCAATCTACAGAGACCATGAACAGACCATCCACTTTCAAACTTTGCTCCTAATTGATGAAACAAGCTTCAGAGAAGTAACTGGTTCTAGGTCCTGTTAAATCCACAGGACACCAACCAACAGGTTCTACAATACAGCAAAGGCTGTGGCAAGAACTGGTCCATTATAATCTACTTTTTCCAAGGCTTACAGATGCATTCATATGAGTTAAGTGAAAGATTTAATCACAGCTCACCTAATCACATCACAATGCATGACAATCCCATGCAGCCTTGATTCCCATCTTCACTGCTGTTGAGCTTTTTCATCCGGTATTGGCGGATCTCTCTCACCAATGTGTAAAAAGCATCTTCAACACCCTGAATGCAAAGAGTCCTGGTCAGGTATTCTCTCCCCCATGTGCTTGGGGGTCACTTTGCACTCCATCCATCATTTTACTATTCCACCAAAGGATTCTTTGACATACTTATTCAAAACGCATTTCTTTCTCCATGGCAGCTCCTAGCCAACTGGGAGCCAGGAGGATCAGGGGCCAACTTATTCCACAATTCATTGCGGCAGGGAACCAGCATATATGCCCACATTTCCCATAATTAAAATTCTTGACTTTGATAATTCTCCCTCTGAGGAAACCATAAACAAGCAGCCAACACAGCAGCCTTCCAAAAATGGAGGCAATGGCAGATTGTAGCTATAGGAGGAGGTTTCTGAAGCTTATGTCCTCAGTAGGAAATGGGGTTATTTCTTGGCAAACTGCCTCCCTGTTCATGTTTTATTTTCAGGCTATTTCTTAGCAATTTATTACCCCTTTCCAGATTCATTCTGCAAAGTGATGGAGCAATGACTTGGGGGAGCCTACTGAACACAGGGCGATTAGTGGAGAATGCTCTCTATATAAACACACACACTCTGAGGACATGCCACTGACTTAGCTTCAACACTGGCCTTAATTAGAAGCCAAGGGAAACTTGGCAGTTTTGGGACAAAATCCCATAAGAACAGCATTTGGTCTTACTACAAACTACTCCAGAAGAGAGGGATGGCTGAACTCTCATCTGGTTGGTAAGGACTTGGTATTTGTAGAACCCAGCTACTGAGGCCATCAAATGTGAATCTGAGGAGTCACTGAGGTTTTGATATCATCCAGAGCAAAAGAAATTAAATAAAAGACAGAAAATATCATATTGCCTCTATATAAATCCATGGTACGCCTACGTCTTGAATACTGCGGGCAGATGTGGTCACCCCATCTCAAAAAAAGTTACACTGGAATTGGAAAAGTTCAGAAAAGGGCAACAAAAATGATTAGGGGTATGGAATGGCTGCCATATGAGGAGAGATTAATAAGACTGGGACTTTTCAGCTTGGAAAAGAGAAGACTAAGGGGGGATATGATAGAGGTATATAAAATCATGACTGGCGTGGAGAAAGTAAATAAGGAAGTGTTATTTACTCCTCCTCATAACACAAGAACTAGGGGTCACCAAATGAAATTAATAGGCAGCAGGTTTAAAACAAACAAAAGGAAGTGTTTTTTCACACAATGCACAGTCAACCTGTGGAACTCTTTGCCAGGGGATGTTGTGAAGACTATAACAGGGTTCAAAAAAGAACTAGATAAGTTCATGGAGGATAGGTCCATCAATGGCATCCCTAACCTCTGTATGCCAGAAGCTGGGAATGGGCAACAGGGACTAGATCACTGGATGATTACCTGTTCTGTTCATTCCCTCTGGGGCACCTGTATTGGCCACTGTCGGAAGACAGGATACTGGGCTAGATGGACTTTTGGTCTGACTCAGTATGGCTGTTCTTAAAGTTCTACTCTGCATGTTCACATGGAACTCAAAGGTAAAAATGGGAAAGTGATTTACACATCTCCATCTCCAGCCCCCTGCAATCAGTACCATAGAGGATCCGGGGCACTACCATATTTATAGTACCAAGGAAGGAAATCACACTGGAAAAATGGAAGCTCGTCACCTGTCTTGTTTTGGCTGACGTCTCAATGAAGGGTATCCCATAGCTCTTGGCTAGTTCTTGAGCCTGTTTTGTATCCACTGTCCTTGTGGGCAAGTCACACTTGTTTCCCACTAGCACCATTGGCACATCATCTGAATCTTTCACTCTCTTAATCTGCTCTCTGCAGAAAGAATACATTAAAAACCACCTTTTCTTGTACAAAAACTGAGTTTTAAACTGACATCTTATTACAAATCAGACATCAGTGCTGGAAAAGACCTCACAGGACTTAGCCTCCAACCCATCAACCAATATGTCCGTCTCGTTACACTGTCAGTGCATTCACCTTGATGTGCTCCCCTTTCGCTACTATCTCAGGTGTCTTGTCCTGTATGCTATGCCACTGAAATACCATCTAATCTTCAACACTCTATCTTGGTGGCTGTTCCATTCTCCATTTGCTGACAATTTATGTACCACTCTAAAATACTGAGTCCGATTTTCAAAGGCATTCTGAAACCCAGTGTGTTGTATGGAATTTTTCCAGCATTTATGATTTGAAGATCATTGATTGTCTTGCAAGTTTGGTCTCCACTAATTCCAGTGGTGGATAATACTCAATGCCAGTTGAAGATTGCGCCATTCCAGCCTTCCCCCTCCAAAATAAAACTAGGAAAAGCTTCCTCACGAAGAGCAGAACATACCTGTAGAGATTGATATCAGCAAATGATTTGCTGTTATTAATGGCAAAGACACAGAGGAAGCCTTCACCAGTTCTCATGTACTGGTCTCGCATAGCGCTGTACTCCTCCTGCCCTGCAGTATCCAGAATGTCTAGCAAACAGGTCTCACCATCAATAACTACCTGCTTCCGATATGAATCCTGAGGGAGACACAAAGACAACTTTTAAAACAAAGACAAGACTTAGTGCTGTTGCTGCTGCAATCCCTTACTTCAGACTCTATTAGTGAGTGTCTCAAAGGCACCTCCTAGTCCAAAGCCTAAAACTGGCAGCAATTCCATGTCTTGCTACACTTTCTCATGAACTCTAACTGAGGAAGCATTTCAAGTGCAGGGTGTATTGCTAGTGACCTTAACACAGCATGTAACTTTTGTGACAAAAAGGCTTTCACCTCTAGAAAGGAAAAATACTGCCTCCTATTACACTGTTGCTGTAGGGGGAGGAGGAGCCTCTGCTGTGATTCATTGAAGAGTATATCTACAGGAAGTTATAAAATTGTATATCAGCAATGCATCCGATGAAGTGAGCTGTAGCTCACGAAAGCGTATGCTCAAATAAATGGGTTAGCCTCTAAGGTGCCACAAGTACTCCTTTTCTTATATCAGCAAAGGAAACCCAAACATCTCATAAAATAACCCCCATGATGTACCTCTGTACCATGCATCAAGGAGAATATGCCCCCAGGTACAGTGGACTCTATAATCCCCAAACAGAATCCCAGAAAGAAAAAACTAATATTGAGGATGACTCAGAAGCGGTTTCTCCAGTTTATGTCCTTTTTAGAAGGGGCAAGAGTCCAACATTTGGAGGTTGCTTTATACACTTACATCTGTTTTATTTTTTTATGCATTATCACCTATAAACACAAATAATTCAATGCTATTTACCTCATAAAATATTACTCAAATGATACAACTAGTGATAATTTTACTGCATTAACTTCAGGATCATCCTGGCTAGACCAGCACCAAATAAAGCCCCATTAAACCATTGACAGCCTGTCCTGGGAACCAAGTCAAACTGGTGGTGTAGGACACAGGAATGTGCTTCCCCTGGATTTATGTGCTTCCCCCGGATTTATGACCTACCCATAGATACTTTTATTAGTTGTACCACAGCAGCAATGAGGAGATTTAGACATGGGCCAAGATGCCATTGTGCTAGGTGCCATCCAAACACAGAACAAAAATGGTCCCTTCCTCCACAGAACTTACTCAACGGACAGTGCAATGAAGAGGATTCCCCCTCTTTCAGCAAAATGGTAATGATGAAAATACATGTAGTGATTGATTACCCATACAAGCAAATACAGGCTACGTGACTCTCGGATGGAAAGCACACAGGTGCCTACCTGTGCTGCAGTGCACCAAGAGATGTGTCTCAAAATAGTCCTTCAAAAGAGGCTTAAACTACAACCACGTACACACACAACACCCATTGTTTGCCTCATGATAGATATACTAGTTTCCCAAGTAGTTTCAGAATCAGATAGCACTCTCCCTTCTCCTTTCCCTCTCTGTGGGACAACAGGGGGAGATGACAATCTACACTGTAAAGCATCATGTACAGAAACAAATAAGGTGTACATTAAGGTACATGTGGCTGACCTGCTTCAGCTCAAATGCCCAGAGTCTGGTTTACCTGGAATAGTGGACATTCAAAATAAACTTTTTGTAGATCTGAACATGAAGACCAAGAACAACTGTGAACTTCTCAACTTGAAAGTCCAGCATGCTGTCAGCACTTAGCTGGGTTGTGCAATGTGGCATTGCCTGGGAAGACCAAGTAATAAATCTGCATGTATGCTGCAGTAGAGAAGGGTGAGTGAAACCTGTTGTACAAAAGTGCATTACAGCCTAAGTCAGCCTCACCTGGAGAGCTAGAAGAGGGATTGCTAACCTGCTGCACTAGTTTACAGGAGCTACAAATGCGTTTGAAGCTTGTTAGTTATTTCTGAGCCATGCCACTTCCCTGAATGGGTTCAAAAGCTGCAGTGCAAACACAGCCTAACTGCAAAAAGTGACTAAACGTCAAATCAGCCACAAGAATACATAGTCTGTTTCAGGAGCGTTGTGCAGATCACGGTTTGTCTTCATACGCCCAGCCGGCATCAGGGACTCACCTCTATGGTCGGGTCGTACTCGTCCACAAAGTGGTTCTGGATGAGCTGAATGGTCAGGGCGCTTTTGCCAACGCCACCAGCTCCCACCACCACCAGCTTGTACTCTGTCATCGCCCTGCTCGGGAACCTGCAGTCACAGCACAGAGGTCAGCGGAGCGAGGGCCCGGGACCCACTCACCCTGAGACACACGGGGCGGCAGGGGAGAGCCGGGCCTCGGACCCCCACCCCAGAGAGACGGGGGCAAAGGCCAGCCCGGCCGCCCCGAGACATGGGGAGGACCCGTGACCCTCGCTGTAGACAGAGCCCTGCGTGCCCGGGGAGGGGCCTCGAGCCCCCAGCGCAGGGCCGGGACGCCGGCCCCGCGGGGTCTGACCCGGAGACAGCCCCGCGCCCAGCCAGTCGCGGGGCGGGGCCCGTCCCGGGGAGCCTCTCACCTTACGGCCCGACAGGCTCCGCGGGACGCGAGAAAGCGGAACACCCCTCCCAAGTGGGCCCGTCCTTCCGGCCTCCGGCCCGCGCCCCGAACGTCATCAGGCGAGGCCGGAAGGCGAGCACAGCCGCTCGGCGCACGAGGGCCCAGTCGAGGCCCTGGCGGCGAGGCCGCGCGACTGCCGGCCCGCTTCAGGCTGGGCTCCCGGCCGCAGCGCGTTGCAGGGGAGCGCGAGTTATGGGCCGGCGCAGGCCGCGCCCCGCAGCCCTATTGCCGAGCGGAACAAGGTCGAGAGCTGGGCAGGCAGCGACTGTCCCAGAAAGCACCGCCCTTGTGCTAGGCCCCAACCCCTGTTTTATACATCCCGCGGGGGGGGGGTGATGCAGAAATAAGGGGGCTAACGAAACACTGCAGAAACATGAGGCTTTGGAATTCAGAGACCTTGAGCGCTGAATGTGAACTTAGAGACCAGACTGGAAGCATTTTTTTTCAAAATCAGTAAAACTTTATTCTATTTCCATTCTTTGCCATTAACAGAAAATTGGAGAAAGCAATGTTTGTTTCACAAAGATAATGCATCTCCCAGAGAAGAAAAACTCTAAATTGAGAATAGAGGTAATATGGAAAAAAAAAAAAAACACAGTACTGCCCTCTATTCAAAGAAAATAACTCCTGATCTTTTTGGTTAAAGTAATACTTAGACCAATCATTCAGTTTTCTTGCTTGATAAAGTGTGACTAGGGAAGAATGGGGGAGAGGGGGGGGGAGAAAAAAGCACACAGACATTAACTATTTCACCTTGATGAAAATCTCAATACAGCTATGGAAAGCCTAAGTATTTATTCTTTTACAGTACACTGGGTGCTGGCTGCAAAAAGAAAAATGTATTCACTTCAGGCACAATTTTTAAATTTAAATCAGTAAAAGAAACTGGGTTTAGAAGCTGCAGTGTTCTAAGCAGCAGCAAAATTTGTGCATTGTTTTATATATTTAAATTACCACACCAATGGCACACCTCATCCTTCTGAAATTCTGCACCGCACATACTATTTGCAGAAAGTTACAAAAACTGATCTATTCTGGAAGGTACTTTCACTGAGATCTAACAGAACTTTGCTACATGGACTCAAGTTTAAATGAGAGATGAAAACAACATTGTAACATTTGGCCATCAACTTAATAAAGTTATCTGAATGCTCATACAGATTTATATATAAAAAAGTTAATATAGTCCACCCTCATATGGTCCTCAGAATTAGATCTGAACAAACAGGAAGTGAGCCTCCCACTTGGAGGGGAAGATAATACAACTGAGAGCTAAGGCATAGTAACACCTTGTCAGAAATAATGAAGGTAGAGTATATATCTTTTTAGTGCAGAATTTCATAAGGTCTACCGGAGTAGAACTGTCTATAATGTTCACTTACATAGGCAATGTAGACTTGCAGTTACCAGTTGCGTTAAATGCACCATTCAAAAAGCGTCTAAAATGTGATAACTTAAGGTGGCGCCTTATAGTTTCAGGATGCAACTGTGCATAATTTTAAAATGGTTTCATAAATTTTTTTAAACATAACATGAGGAAGGTGTTAAAACTGGTGTAATAGCTTCTTAGAATTTGGAAGGGATGAATAGGGAGATATTCAGTACCCTTCACCAGCTCCCACTGCTTGATCGTACTTAGTTATGTGCTTTATGGATCAGTTAGTCAATAACACCAGCTTGACGAATCTTTCTCTCTGCACCAAATCCCTGTAATGACATAAAACCTCATTAATCAACTGCAATGTGAAATAATGTATATGGTTAACAGAGATGGAGAAATTGAGAGAGCTGTAATATATCAAAGTGTAGCCCACTCTTCATGTTTTGTTTCTAACAGGGTAAAGTGTTACCAGGATTTCTGATGTTCATATTTGGGGACAAAGCTGGCTCAAGTTAGCACAGAGCTCCCATGCATTTGTCTGCAGTTCTACCTAGGCACTGTGCTCTATACCATTTCCTTTAACTCCAAAGAATCCCCTCTACACACCTGGAAGGGTGAAGAGCAGTGTTCGCTCTAATTTTTTCCATCCATTTGTGGAATTAATTTTATGTGCAGCACCAATATCGAGGTAATCTGTGGATATGCACCATCATCTCCCGACTTTCACAACAGCCCCATTTTTCACCAAGAGCTCACAACATCCTACTGCTAGTACCTAGCTAGGTCTTAGGAAAGGTGGGTCTTCAGGTGACCTCGGCAGTGCCTATCCACATTCATTCCTACAGCCCCCTTCCACAAGGGTCAGTACATGCTTTGCAAACTATGCATATAAATGTACCATTGAAATGCAGCCACCTCTGGTGAGGAAAACTGGCAGCCAGCTAGGCCAACAGCACAGAGCACTGTGCAGGAGTTTGGAAAGAGAAGGGGAATTTTGGAGAGGAAGAATCTTTTCCACTTATGCAAAATGCTTGAGATATTTAATGTTCAGACAGGGCTTCATCTGTAAAGGTCTTGTCTGAATGTAAAATATAATACCACAATTTAGAAATCAAAGTAAACGTTTCTTTTTAAATCAGGACACTAAGGCTCAAAATAATTAAGAAAGCACTCAGTTAAAAAAAACCACCACTCAAATTCCCCTTATTACCATCCTCTTGTATTAATACAAAGCACTTTAAGAGCCATAAAGACTATTCAACCTTCATGTGGTTTATATTTTTACACTGGATCAGCTTGGACAATTAAGGTAGCACAGTCAAGTTCACCTTCAGAGTCTCATGCACATATACAATGTTCCAGTGTCTCTCATACAGGAGGTACTGTGTCCTCTGCACCTAGCTGAAGTTACCCATTCACATGTAGTGTAACCATGACAGTTCTGCTGCATTGGGGAACTTTCTGTGGCTACCTATGTTCCTACGTGAATTTCAACATAAGTGGCCACACTGGGTCAGTCCAAAAGTCCATCTAGCCTAGTATCTTGTATTTCAACTGTGGCCAATTCCAGGTGTCCCAGAAGGAATGAACAGAACAGGTAATCATCAAGTGATCCAGCCTGTCGCCCATTCCCAGCTTCTGGCAAACAGGCTAGGGATACCATCCCCGCCCATCCTGGCTAATAGCCATTGATGGACCTGTATCTTCCATGAACTTATCTAGTTCTTTTTTTAACCCTGGGATAGTCTTGGCTTTCACAACATCCTCTGGCAAAGAGTTCCACAGGTTGACTGTGTGTTGTGTGAAAAAATACTTTTGTTTTAAACTGCTGCCTATTAATTTCATTTGGTGACCCCTAGTTCTTGTATTATGAGAAGGAATAAACACTTCCTTATTCACTTTCTCCACACCAGTCATGATTTTATAGACCTCTATCATATCCCCCCTAGTCATCTTTTCCAAGCTGAAAAGTCCGTCTTATTACTCTCTCCTCATATGGAAGTTGTTCCATACGCCTAATGATTTGTTGCCCTTTTCTGAACCTTTTCCAATTCCAATATATCTTTGAGATAGGTGACCACATCTGCACACATTATTCAAGATGTGAATGTACCATGGATTTATATAGAGGCAATATGATGATATTTTCTGTCTTATCTATCCCTTTCTTAATAATTCTCGACATTGTTTCCTTTTTTGACTGCAGCTGCACACTGAGTCGATGGTTTCAGAGAACTATCCACATTGATTTCAAGACCTCTTTCTTGAGTGGTAACAACTAATTAAGACTCCATCATTTTATATGTATAGTTGGGATTATGTTTTCCCATGTGCATTACTTTCCATTTATCAACAATGAATTTCATCGAAGTGTGCACAGCTGACATTCACCTTAATGAGGTTGTATACAGCAACCATCAGACCCTGTAGTTTCCCCAAGGGGAGCTCAACCAAAATGTACTTATCAGAATTTGTATTAACTTTGTCTTACCTAGACACTGTTCCTTTGCAATCTATAAATGGGAAAGGCTCACTTCTTCAGCCTGATACTTAAAGCTTCTATGGAATGCTTAACACATGATCTTACTTCTGAACTCAGAGCACAGTTCAAGTTGAGGGGCAATGTTATATTGATCCAGTGACTAACCTCAACACAAGAACATTTTCTGCCAGTTGATCCAAGTAATTGGTGTCTTATGCAATGGAAAGCCAGGGACAATGAAATACGATTTTTGCCATTTTAAAAAAGGAATGAGATAAATAATGTAGATAGTGTAACAGAGAAAAAATTAAATGATAGGTAATGGCCAAGAATGAGGTTTATAAGACCTTTACATGAAGTTAAAACTTATCAATCGGCGTGGAGCTTGCTAGAAGCATCTCTCCGGCAGTCTACTGAAAGTTTTATTGAGGCATTATTTCCTGGCTATTCAGATGGTGACAACACACATTCTGCTAAACAAGATACTGTGCTGACCAGGGGAGAGGCGGAGCTGGGGTGGGGGGAGAGGAGTCTTCCCCCCACATCCCAAGCCCTGCACACCCCAAACTACCGTCACTGCCCCACATCTCACCCCACTGCCCCCACCCACCCTCCACGCTCACCTGTGTGCGTGGCCCTTGATGGCCTCCTGTGCAGCCACGCAGGCACACACCTTAGAGGGAACACAGGTGAGGAGTGAGCTTGCTGGGCTCCCCCAGATTCCTCCATGCTAACAGAAGTTCCTATGAAATTCAATGAGCTGAGGCTCCAGCTCTTTCCCCTTTCTCCTAGGTGGATTATTTCTGCACAAAGGAGAATAGGCTCTTTCATTAGAAAGCTGTTTCTCTAGAGGAGTTTTAAATGGATTGCTGCAGAAGAGTACATTTTGCCTTCTAGCAATCAATTTGTCATTCTTAAAGACAGTTAGCATCACCTGCCAGCTGAGGTGGTAATTATACACCCAGCTCTGAAATTCAGATTAACTATGTTAGTGCATTACAGTCCTTTCCGGGATCAGCAGCTTGAGTGGCTTGTGGCAAACATAGCAAGACAGGAAGCCTTGATTTTTGACTTTTACATTTAAAAGAATTAACAAAGTAAGAACAGTTTTAGCCTTTATCAGCATTCATACGTTACGAAAAGAACAGTTACTTACCTTATAGTAATGTGGTTCTTTGTGATGTATTGTCCACACCCATTCCACTCTTGGTGCATATGTGGGTGATGTAAACAGGATCAGATTCTTTTAGCCAGTAGTGTCCACTGAGGCTACCCCTGCACCCTAATGTTCTCACATCCCCATGCCAGATAAAGAGCAGAGCACGCCCAATCATCCCCACTTCCTTCGCCAATACAGAATCCCAGAGGAATAGGAATCCACAGTAGTGGAGGAGGGTGTGTTGTGGAACCAATGTGGACAACACACAAGAGCCAGTTACAGTATGGTAAGTAACCCTGCTCAGAGATTGTTCACATGGATGCACTTTTGGTGACTCGAACAAAAAGTTGTGTTTCCTTGGCGGGGTGGGTAACAGGACTCTTACTGAGATAATGACCGTAAGACAATCCTATCAAAGCAGGCATCCAGTGTGGAAGCCTCTATCAAGGAATAGTATATTTTAAGTGTGGGGCCTGAGCTCCATGTAGCTGCCCTAAAGATTTTAGAAATAGGAACAGTCTTCAAAACATGGGAAAGACTGAGGGGGGAAAAACATAAGTTTAAAAAAATCTAGACTTTGAAGAGTGCCAAAGTACAGCATGGCCTTGAATAGGAATAGGATGTACAGAGATACTGTTGCCAGATGGACCCTTGGAAATATTCCACATTGTTTCAGGGCTAGTCAGCAGTCCACTAGTACTCAAATGAGCAGTCAAGGGCAATAGCTGGGGCTCAGATGCCCCAATATAAAACTAAGTGGAAGGAGGAGTTTTCCAAGTCAGTCTAGTTAATGCTTTCCTGCTCTGGAGCAGGATGTTCTGAACTTCAGCTGAACAGCTTCTTTCAGTGGACGTCATCCTGTCAAACATCCAGGCTGTCAGATACAAGAAAGCAGGGTCCAGGTGCAGGATCTGACCATTGTTCTGCAAGACTGTTGGGTAAGGCCAGTAAGGGGATGGTGGCGGCTATGGTAAAAGGTGAATAAGGTCCTAATACCAGAACTGCCTATAGCCTGGGCAGTCGTGATCAGTCATGCATCTTGCCTCACTTCCCTCAGTATCAGTGGAGATTACCTACTCCTTTCTGTCATCATAATGCATAGCTGTGATGCTGTCTGTCAGCACCTGGACCATGGATCCCTGGCGTAAAGGCAGAAATGCTTTTTATGCCAGGCAGATGGCTCTGGGCTATAGATGAACCTCTGAGGGTACCACAGACCTTGTGTTTGAAGGTGATCTAGATAAGCTCCCTCCACCCCTGAAGAGGCATCTGCCACCAGAGTCTTGGTAGGTAGAGGCGGAGAAGGTTATTCTGTTGCACATGTGAAGAGGGTCTTATCAATTTAAGAGGGAGAAGACTGATCTTCATGTCTATGCAGTGTCTGCTGGGTAGACAAATTTCAACCCTCCCCTGCATGGAGCATAGGTGAAGTCTGGCAAACCGCATCACACAGGTGTCCTAGATTTTAGTAAGCCATCCAACAGTTCCACATGATATTCTCATAAGCAAATTAAGGAAATATGATCCAGAGGAAATTACTATAAGGTGGATGCACAACTGGTTGAAAGACTACACTCAAGAGTAGTTATCAATGATTTGCTGTCACACTAGGAGGGCATATCTAAACTGGGTCCCACAGGGGTCAGTCCTTAGTCTGCTCTTATTCAATATTTTCATTAATGACCTGGAGACTGGAGTGGACAGTATGTTTATAAAACTTTCAAATGACACCAAGCTGGGAGGGGTTGCAAGGACTTTGAAAGACAGGATTAGGAGTCAGAACCTTGACAAACTGGAGAATTGGTCTGAATTCAAAGAGATTAAACTCAATAGAGAAGTGCAAGTATTCACGTAGGAAGGAAAAAATCAAATACAAATTCAAAGTAATGGACTAGGTGGTAGCACTGCTGAAAAGGATCCAGGGATTACTGGTGACTCATTCAATTTGTGATACAAGATGGGATACAGCTGTGAAAAAAGCTGTTACCCCTGGATGTATTAACAGGAGTGTTGTTCATAAGAGACCGGAGGCAACAGTCCCTCTACCCAGCACTGATGAGGCCCCAAACGGAGCACTGTTCCCAATCCTGGGCATCCCACTTTAGGAAATAAGTAGACAAATTGGAGAGAGTATAGAGGAAAGCAACAAAAATGATCAAGCAAGCCTGCCTTTGTAACAGATGGTCCCTTACATCGAAAAATCACGATATTCAGGTTACTCCTAGTCCCAAAGGACCAGTCAGTCACTTACTGCAAGTCAATTGTACCTCAATGTTTCTCAAAGACAATGCTTGTAGCGAATCCTGTAATCTAACTAAACGGTTAGCTAGGAAAAAGAAAGGGATTACTTACAAGGTTAAAGCAGGTTTCAGAGTGGTAGCCGTGTTAGTCTCTATCAGCAAAAAAAAAAAAAAAAAAAAATGAGGAGGACTTGTGGCACCTTAGAGACTAACAAATTTATTTGGGCATAAGCTTTCGTGGGCTACAGCTCACTTCATCGGATGCATTCAGTGGAAAATACAGTGGGCAGATTTATATACACAGAGAACATGAAAAAATGGTGTTGCCATACCAACTGTAACGAGACCAATTATCAGCAGGAGAAAAAAAGCCTTTTGTAGTGATAATCAGGATGGCCCATTTCAAACAGTACGGGGGAAAAAATCAGCATGGGGAAATGGTTTTTACTTTGTGTAATGACCTATCCACTCCAGTCTTTATTCAAGCCTAATTTAATGGTGTCCAGTTTGCAAATTAATTCCAATTCTGCCGTCTCTCATTGGAGTCGGTTTTTGAAGTTTTTTTTGTTGGAGAATTGCAACTTTTAGGTCTGAAATTGAGTGACCAGGGAGGCTGAAGTGTTCGACTGGTTTTAGAATGTTAATTCTTGACATCTGATTTGTGTCCATTTATTTTTTTGGGTAGAGATTGTCCGGTTTGGCCAATGTAGATGGCAGAGAGGCACTGTTGGCATAGAGGCACTGTTGGCATATATCACACTGGTAGATGTGCAGGTGAATGAGCCTCTTACGGTGTGGCTGATGTGATTAGGTCCTATGATGGTGTCCCTTGAATAGATATGTGGACAGAGTTGGCAATGGGCTTTGTTGCAAGGATCGGTTCCTGGGTTAGTGGTTCTGTTGTGTGGTGTGTGGTTGCTGGTGAGTATTTGCTTCAGGTTGCGGGGCTGTCTGTAGGCAAGGCCTGGCCTGTCTCCCAAGATCTGTGAGAGTGAGGGATTGTCCTTCAGGATAGGTTGTAGATCCTTGATGATGTGCTGGAGAGGTTAAAGCTGGGGGCTGAAGGTGACAGCTAGTGGTGTTCTGTTACTTTCTTTGTTGGGCATGTCCTGGAGTAGGTGACTTCTGGGTTAAAGCAGGTAAACATCACGCACAGAAGAGTTATCTTAGGTTTCAAAAAGTTATAGAAGTTGCTGTAAAGTGCAAGCTCTGTGTCCTTTAGGGCTACCCCAAGCAAAGCAGTGCGGGGATCCCTTGTTTATGCTTAGATATATTGCCCTCTCCAAATTTCTCAGCAGAATAGTGATATGGTTCCTTCTGGTCAGGGACTTATTCCCACCACAGTTCGGACAAAGGTTTGTACACATCCCCTTTTCATGGGTATAGGGGAAGCAAAATCAGTCTTTGTTCACTGATGTTCTACAAATGGTTCATCTGGTGTCTACAGGTCTCTACTGATGGACAGAATGTGACTTTTATACTAGTTTACCACAAGTTCACACTTGGTAATGCTCCTCTCCTGACTGTGGGGATTTCCAGTGTCATACCAAACACTTTTATAGTTACGTTGAAGCAAACACGTAAACGTTACCTTATAACATGGGATGCAGATAGTGAGATTAACACATTCAGTGACCCATAAGCATTTCATAAAGTGGAAACACTAAACACATTCTTATAAACTTAAGATCTATTTTAACAATTCTAACACAGGTGAGGAAGATTGGTTTCCAGTTATCCATTTGTCAGTGTTCGGTGAGGCCTGGGCATGAGCTAGCACCTGGTCTGCCAGCATCAGTGATCCTAGGATGCGTTAAGTGGAATCTCAAGCAGGAGTAGAGAAGTTATTTCCCCCCTGGAATTAGCTATGGTGCAACCCCTGTTGGAATACGGTGTCCAGTTCTGGTGGCCACAATTAAACAACGTTGGTAAACTGGAGAGGGTTCAGAGAAGAGCCAGGAGAACGATTAAAGGATTAGTGATGACGCAAAGAGCTCAGAGGGATAGCTCAGTGGTTTGAATATTGGCCTGCTAAACCCAGGATTGTGAGTTCAATCCCTGAGGGGGCCATTTAGGGATCTGGGGCAAAAACTGGGGATTGGTCCTGCTTTGAGCAGGCGGTTAGACTAGATTGACCTCCTGAGGTCCCTTCCAACCCTGATATTCTATGATTCAGCTTAACAAAGAAGGTGGGGTGTCTTGATTAGAGAGTAACTAACTACATGGGAAACATTTAATAATGGGGTCTTCAATCTAGTAAAAAAAGTTATAACATGATCCAATCGCTGTAAATTGAAGCTAGACAGATTCAGGCTGGAAATAAGGTAAATTTGTAACAGTGAACATAATTAACAATGGGAACAATTTACCATGGGTCATGGTGGACTTTTGGAAAAAAGCAACCAATCTTGCTTTGAAGAGCTTGGCTCTAGGAATTATTCAGGGGGAAGTTCTATGGCCTGTGTTATACCGGAGGTTGGACTAGATCATGACGACCTCTTCTGCCCTTGTAATGTATGAATATTTTAAGCGCGGTGATCAATTGTTCTCCTCTGAAGGCAGGTCAAGTAGTAATGGGGCTTAATCTGCAGCAAAGGAGATTTAGGTTAGGTATTAGGAAAAACATTTTAACTATAAAAAGGCAGAAAAGTTCTGGAATAGGTTTCCAAGGGAGGTTGGGGAATCCCCACCATTGGAGGGTTTTAAGAACAGGTTGGACATTAACTGGTCAGGGATAGGTTAGGTTTATTTGGTCCTGCCTCAACACAGAGGGGCTAGACTTGATGACCTCTTGAGGTCCCTTTCAGTCCTACATTTCTAAGATGTGTCAAGAGTCTGAGAGGCCAGTCTCACTGATGTTCTTGAGTGATCTTGATAAACCTCAAACAACTTTATCTCTGTAAGGTAAGCTCTCACTGACCTAAAAATCTAACATGGCTACTATAAGCGCTAAGTATTGAGTCTATGTGGATTTCTCAGACTTTGAGGCCCAAAATGGTAAATAACTTAAGGTTATTTCAACTGAGTTAGTCACATGTTGGAGGTGCGGGAGATCTTCCTTGAATCAGTCAGTCAAGGTATATAGGTAGACCAGGATCCCTGGTCTCTTTAGATGAGCTACCACCAAGGGTTTGGCAGTTGTGAACATCCTCAGTGCCATGGAAAGACCAAAGGGCAGGCTCCCACACTAGTAATGAGGTGTTCCTACTAGGAATCTAATTAATCTAACCCACAAAAAACCTTTCTATAAAAACAGGAATTCTGCAGGTTGAGAGCTCTGAACCAATCTTGTGGATCTACAGAGGGAATTATGGAGGCTAGAGTCACCATCCTGAAACTGAACAGCAGATGAAGATGTTGAAACAGAGGTCCAGAATGGGAGGCCAATCCCCTTTTCTGGGATAAGTAATGGGAATAAAGACCCTTGCCCCTGACTACCAAGATCACCTCTTCCACTGCTTAGTTGTAGGAGTCCACTGTTTTAACAGTATCTTAGGAGAAGGATTCATGAAAAGGGATGAGAAAGGGGGTATAAGAAGTAGGAAGGGATTGGAATTGGCTTGTACAATTCCTGGGACCCACAGGTCTGAGATGACTGAATCCAGATTTCCCAAAAATAAGAGGTGGTTGCCAAAAGGGGGCAGAAGAGACTAGATCCTCTGGAGGTTCTCCTAGGCTTGTGACAACTGTGTCAAATTGAATGCCAGGGGAAAGACATTGTGAAGCACTAGAGGAAGAGTCAGAGTCACTGTTCCTGGAACCTCTATTTCTTTCTCAGAAACTCTGAGGTCTCTTGAGGCTGGTAATAGTAATCAGCAGAGAGATGGTGCCTGAAAGTCTGGTCTTGCTTGCTTCTTTCTTGGGGCTGAAACAGAAGCCCAGGGAGCACAGAATGGCCCTAGAGTCCTTCAAGAAATGTATGGCCTCATCCCCCTTTGGATTAAGAAATTTGTTGCCAAAGAGAAGACTGTCAGTTGTTTGAACCTCCTTGGGAATCCCTGATAATCAGAGCCAGGATGTTCTCATGGCTACCAACATAACCACAGTATTTGCTGCTGTGTCAGCCACATCTGGCACAACACGTAAGGACACGTGGACTATCAACTGTCCTTCAGACAGATGGTCTTTAGTTACTCTTGGTGTTGAGGTAGCCTGTTCACATACTGAAACAGTTGCACAGGAGAGCTTAGTCATCGGTGACATCTGGAGGCTAGTACATGAACAGGCTGCATGTCCAACAAGTCCAGTCTCTGGGTCTCACCCCCTAGGTGTAGGGTTGGAAAGCCACTCCTGCTATGACTTTTCTTGGACCACAGCTATCACAAGCAACCCTGGTAAGAGGTGACACCAGGTGCCCATTATTAAGTGGCACTGAGGTTTTGCACAGAGGGGCAGGTTTTAAAACCTGGAGATTTCACTTTGGTTACTTTGCTAGAGCCCTTGTACAGAGGGGAAGGTTTCTGTGCTAAAAACAGAAGCTGATTAAAATAAGGACTTTTTGTGTACTGCCAACTGGCAACAAGCCTAACACACAACTACATACACACTGAAGGAGGTGGATACTGCAGGAGTTCCATCTCATTGCTACCAGCAATAAAAAAAAAAACTACGATAGCTGGGCCTACTCCCCGCTGTTTACATCCTTTGATGGAGATGTGTATGTATAGCTGGGCCTACTCCCTGCTGTTTGCATCCTTGATGGAGATGTGTATGTTCAAGGACAACAGAGCACAGGCACTACCCCCAATGGATACTGCTGGCAAAAAAGAATCTGATCTCATGTATGTGGGGTACATATGCACCAAGAGTGCAAATCATATGGACAATTCATCTTGAAGAATCAAGATTCTATTTCCATAAATTACCATTATTTCTAGATATTTATAGAGAGTGATTCTGCACACTAGGCTGTTATCGTAAGAGTATACCTTTGAGTTATCCGGTCCCCTTGGTTGACGAAGAACTGTTAGGCGAGGAGCAGTGGCATCATCTAAAGTAATGCTCTTTAAACGATTAACAAGTCTATCAGGACGCGGAGCAGCAACAGCCTTTGCGCCTTCACTGTAACAGAAATGGAGCTAGTTACTTGGGGCAGCAGCCATCCCCTGGATAATGTCCGGACTAACATTTGGGAAGGCATACGAGGTGACTGGGAATTGGATAATTTGTACCAAGACAAAAAGGAAATTGAGACTAAAGAAGTCACCTCATTTTGAGATGGGCTTTCTGGAAAGGACACTATACCAACCCCAAGGTCCTACGATATTTACTGCAGCCCCTGGATTCTCTTCTGTGGGCTCCTGCTGACATCTCTTTATCCTCTACAGCTAGCCAGGAAGCTACAATCTTTCCTCTCAATGCAAACCTTCAACAGTCACCCCATGTGTTTGTCACATCCCAATTAAGCTTAATGCCAGTGCTCAGGAATCATTGATATGCCGTGGTACAACATGCCAACAACTCTCCAGAATCTCTGGAGAAACAACTGGCTGTTACAGTTGCAGAGATGAACTCAAAAACTTGAAGTGTAACATGAGTCTGCAGCACTTGGAACAATAGCTCTGACTAGCGTGAGCTACCTATTCATCTCAGAAGGGGTTAGTGCAGATACCCAGTGATCCTGATATTTAAATTAAATTCCTCACATAAGAATGAGGGGGTATGTAAATTTTGCACAGTCAAAGCCATAGGTCCCCTGAGCCAATGGCTCCTCAGGCTGATGCGGTTAAAACACATCCGTTTCATGACCAATGGTTCAGGAATCACATCCAACCACCTTTGACCGCCCTAACAATGGATCAGGTAGCCATACTGAAGCTAGGTGAACTGGAGGCAGGCTTTGCGAGTCTGAGGTTAAGTGAGACAAACCCATGACCTTCAGGACTGTAGTCGAGTGCCTTAACCACTCAGCTCTGTATGCAGAGCTTGGAAAAAGCACCACTCCCCCTAACCTGGCTGCTGCTTAATGCCCTCTCTTTAGGGATATGCTTGAAATACATCTGGAAGATCCAGCAGAAAGCCCTGAATTGCCTGCTTCCTGAGCGGGGCAGGCCATTGTGACTACATAACTCCTACATTCAACATTACACTGTTTTTCAATTAACTGTCTGGGACCCGGTTATCTAAGAGACTGACTGACCCATACTTCTCACAGCATTTAAGAATAGCTGGGAGGATCTCACTGTCAGCGTCTTTGTTAAAGATTTTGCAAATGGTGGCAGTGTCCTCCATGGTGGGGACCTCACTTCAGTCTTATAGAAATGAAGGATGATTAGCTCTAACTCAAATGCAAGAAGCTTTTTGGTTTAGTCTTTGCCCATTTTTGAGAGTGGCCACACGGCTTTAAAGTTTGTGCACACCTAGCTGCTACTGCAAAAGGCTTTTAAAAGTAAAACTGACGTATTAATGGTCAGCCATTCAAAAAAAAAATCAAAGCAATTTATTCAAACAATATCTACTAATCTCTACCTGGAGTTGTGCACTCTTAGCCAACACAGCGCAGGAAAGCATTTCTTCTTTCCGTGTTCTACACTTGCTTCAGGGTGATTTCTCCCACAGTTTGGCATAGTTTTCAAAATCTCCTTCAGTGCAGAACTCAGTTTTCCAAAGCACCCAAAATAAAAAGCTGCCTGTCTGCCACATTTTCTTGCAATTAAATGTCTACCAGTAAGGGATCAGTGGAAAGAGGTTTATAACAAGTGTGCAGAGCTACAATGAAGTTTTCTGAATATCAGTTAAATGCTAGTCGGAAGCTTTGACTCCAACCCTTGTTGAACTGCCACACATTTTGCATATGTTGTATGCAATGCTGCCGTAGCTATGTTGGTCTCAGGATATTAGAGACAAGGAGGTTTACTGGACCAGCTTCTGTTAAGAGAAGCCGCATAAGCTTGAAGAACTTTCAAGCTTATGCAATGTCTCTTACCAACAGAAGTTGGTCCAATAAAAGATATTACCTCACCCACCCTGTCTTCACAGAGCCCTGTGGCCCATTCTATTAAATCTTGACTTCTAATTTCACTATTTTACTTGGTTTACCTGTCCACATCCATGTTTCCCATTGTCAAATATGATACTAATCCTTTCAATAGGCAGGAATGCTGCTGTCCATTCAATGACTATTAAGAACAGGACTTATGCAATATGTTTGATAATACAGGAGGCAGTCATTTACCAAATATGCCAGTTAACACAAAAGCACATTAAGGTCTGTCATGTAAAAAAAGCGTCACTTTCCCACGCAGGAAAGTGTGTGCTTTTCCCCCAACCTGCAGAGATTTGATTATTTGTTTCTGATTAAACCAGATAATCCCAATTCCTCACCAGACACGCCATACATTACAGGCACTGCATTTCCCTGTGCGCTGATTCAGGATCACGGAGAACTCTACTTCATCTCCAGCCTGCAGCTCTACACCATCCTGAACTTCTTTCACATGAAAAAAGAGCTTTTTGCTGTCACCCACTTCATAGTTAATGAAGCCAAACTGAAAAACAGCAATGCAATTTAGTTCATTCATGTCATTTCAAATGGACACACTATTGCATTTCAACTCCACTTTGTTTATATGTTGTATTAAAAAGGGACAGAGTGCAGGTAAGGTTTTAAAAAAATGGATGCCTAACATCAGGCACCTAAATCCATATTTAAACACCTATTAAGCCAAAGGGCATGGTTAGTGTCGCAGCTCTTTTGGAAGTCAGGCCACTTATGGTCCTAAATATGGCCTTAGAAGCATAACTTACATATCTGTTTTTAAAATCATGGCCTAATACTGATACTGTCATCTTTATGTGTGGGAACAACTATGTGGAATACTGAGTTAAACTGCAGACACTCCATCTCAGAAGTCTGATAGCAGAAGGGGTCCAGAGAAAGCAAACAAAAGGAGGCAGGAGGTATAATATTCAACTCTTTTGTGGGAAAGTATACACAATAAGTGGCAGAAAGCCTCCACCAGGTGCTCCTATTTACTCGTAATACAAGAAGTGAATGCCCTGTGAAATTAAGGTGGCAACATATTCCATCCTTCCACCTCCTGCACTCATCTCTTCCCAAGCAGACTGTGGATTTTACTACAAGATACTTTTAGTAAAATTAAAAAAGGATTACACAGTTATACGAATAATCTATTGGCAGCAACATTAGCTATGATAAAAACTGAAGGGATATCAGCCCTCATATTTCAGGACAGAGCTACCACTAACTACTTGAAGTTAGTAACAAAACTTCTCCCATAGGAAAATCATCATGCACATCAAACGATTTGAAAGCTTATTTCCAAGATGAGGTAGGATATGGGACTGTCAAGTGGTGCTCTTACCATCGATGTGGGCATGAACAATGACACCATCAACACATTAAAAAGACCACTTTGACCTGTTTGGATTAGTGTGTGTTAAATTACTATGTATTATTTCAAGACATAATGGATTTCTTTCGGACCTGAAAGCAACAATCTAAAAGCTAAAAATAGCCAGAAGTTTGTACAGGTATCACTGAAATGTAATAGTGCTGGTGACACTTTCTAGTTATCAGTCATGTGCACCTGGGTTACCAGAGTCTTCACTGCCTTGCAATGTACACAGTTCTGTGCAGGGAAGACTTTTAACTACAGATAATTAGCTGATTGTGCCTAAACCAGTAGGATCACTGCAAAAATAAAGTCCTGCAGAAACTCAAATGCTATTGGGCACTTGAACACAGAAGGTAGATCATCCACATTTTTTCCACCCATGCTGCAATGGTGATCCAATATCTGATTTACCTACGTGTGAAGGCATCCAAATCTTTGTTTGCCAAAATGCTCTTCTGACATGCTCTTAGAACTGTCCTCACACGGTGAGAGTTTGGCCAGTGACTTGTCCTCTTTGATGGACAGATTGAGTTGCAAGCAGTTCAGGTCTCTGTGGAGCTCCTTTTCTCTCTCACTGGTCATACAGCACTGCTGCAAACATCCTTGCTGTAGGAATTGTGGCTGATCTATACCCTCCCCCAATTTGGTAAATCTCTGAAGCAGTAAGCTCCATTTGTTTTGGCAACATTAAAAAAGGTTCCCTCCCCTCCCCTGCACATAGCAAACGGGGTGGCAAAATCACATCGTTGGAGGGGTGGGGGGAAGAGGAGATCTGCTTCTACACTCAGGTGCATTTTGAATCATGTAGTCAGAAATTTTTACAAGTGACTGCTTGCTGGATGCCACTTTAGTTCAGAAACTTTCTATGGAGGCACAGGGCATCCGCCAGTCAAGCTATTTGTTGCATCCAATCTTAGATCCTGTCCAGTTCTCTCTTTCCAAAGTTCGCCATATTTGTCAAAGATTTTGATTACAGAATTAGATTTTGTCAAATCCTGTTAGGACCTACCTCAAGTACTCAGCAGCCAATTCAGTGAAAGTGTGGAATGCGTCTCCAGCCATTTGTATGACAGCCATGGGCATTTCTAATGTACACCGTGGTTTCTTTGTTGCATGCTCTTAGCTCTTGAATTCTTTCAGCTTGAGCTTTCAGCTGATGCCCTCACTCAGCTTAGTCTGGTCTTTTAAGGGCTTGTCTACACTTACAGCACTGCACCATTCTGCACCACTGTAGCGCTTAATGGAGACCCTACCGACACAGAAGAGATTCTCCTATCAGTGTACTTATTCCACCTCCACGAGAGGGGATTGTTATGTCACTGTGAGAAGCCCTCCCATCAACACAGCACTGTCTATACCAGGGGTTAGATCAGTGTAACTGCGTCGCTCTGGAAAACCTACCCCCCGAATGACAGTTATACCAACATAAGCTGGTAGTGTGGACCAAGCTTAAGTGTTCCATCAGCATGGAAGAGGGGCAGGGGCACAGGTCATACTGTGTGACTAACAGTTGCCATCGAAACATTATCTCTGCATCTTGTGAAAGACAAGGCTCTGTGGAAAACAAATTTCTGGACTGACAGCTGCTGTGATCGTCCTTCCCTTGCCAGACTTCAATTCAGTCATCTTGGCCATGCCAGCAAAGTGTTAATGACAGATTTATTAACTGGGCTGAAGAAGCGGTGTGTCCCATCAGAATCAAGTATACCTTTCACAAATCTCTCCATTTGTTCAACATCTAGTATTTTCAGTAGAGACACTTTTGTAAATCTGAGGTTACATGCAGTCCAGTATGTAAGTCAATAAGCACCTCTGGATGTGATTCAGGGTCAAATGGGTTGTTGATGACATAGCTGGTAAAAAATGTACCATGCTCCTCATCCCTCTTCAGTGCAAAGGTAAGGACTTGTTTGTGGACTGTCTTCACTACTTCTTGTTAGGCCATTTCTCGTACACCTTTTGCACATTCATAATATGAAGTGGTGTACTGTCATCTCGAACACTAATAATGAATGACTTGTACATAAGTGTCACAATTAAAAAGCTAGTTTCTAGAATATTTCAAAAGACTAGTATTACATGCCTAGGCAAATTACAAATAAAAACCTTCTACCAAGCAGGCTAGAAACTACACTATGTACAAAAGCTTACAAATGGAGAAACATTACATTAGGAATTCACACATTTACATCTATTCATTATGCAGTACAAAACTATGGATGCACAACCTATAGCTACTGCTTCACAATCTTAATTGAGAGACTGATCTGCTCAGCATATGTCATCTGAAAATAGAATCACTTGTACAATATTCTGACAACTTAGAATGTGATATGAAAACAGTTCATGTTATCAATATTTGCCATATGCTAAAGTTCCTTTCTGAAAAAACAAACCTGCCCTTACAAAACCAATACAAATCTTTTAATACACCATTGTTTGGTAGCTCTGATCAATAACCACCTGTCACAAATATAAAGGGAAGGGTAACTATCTTTATTTATGCAGTAATATAAAATCCCTCTTGGCCAGAGGTACAGAATCCCTTTACCTGTAAAGGGTAAAGAAGCTCAGATAACCTGGTTGGCACCTGACCAAAAGGACCAATAAGGGGAGAAAATACTTTCAAATCTGTGGGGGGAAGGTTTTTGCTTTGTCTCTGCATGTTCTCTGAGACAAAGAGAGACCAAGCATGTAATATAGCTCCTACTGAATGATACATCTAACTTAGAGAAATAGTAAGTAATAGCAAGGAAATGCGTTAGAGTATCTTTTGTTTTAGCTTGTGAATTTTCCCTGTGCTAAGAGGGAGGTTTATCCGTGTTTTTGTAACTTTAAAGTTTTGTGCAGAGGGGAATCCTCTGCATTTTGAATCTTATTACCCTGTAAAATTACACTCCATCCTGATTTTACAGAGGTGTTTCTTCTACTTTTTTTCTTTCTTTATAATAAAGTTCTGTTTAAGCATCTGATGGGTTTCTAGGATACTAAAAACCAAAGGGTCTGATCTGTGTTCACCTAGTTTATCTATTTGGTTGGTAGATTATTCTCAAGCCTCCCCAGGAAAGAGGGTGAAGAGGCTTGGGGGGGACATTTTAGGGAAACAGGAACTCCAAGTGGTCCTTTTCCTGAATCTCTGTCTAACTGACTTGGTGGTGGCAGCAGTACTCATCCAAGGACAAGGAAGGATTTGTATCTTGGGGAAGTTTTTAACCTAAGCTGGTAGAAATAAGCTTAGGGGGTCTTTCATGCAGGTCCCCACATCTGTACCCTAGAGTTCAGGGTGGGGAGGGAACGTTGACACCACCACATTAAGGTTTTGAAATTAATATCAACAATAAACTTCAATCCATCATGCTGGAGTGTTTCTGGAACTGTGCACAAAGTCACTCATTTTGGGTACCGTTGTTTCATCTTGCCCAGAGGCTTATGGCACCACTTAACAGCTCCACATATAACCTCATCTAAACGTACCCAAAATAAGCTTTCAAATGATATATGATGTGGGTGTGTAGTGTGAGTACATCAAACTAAAAAAAAAATATGGCCCTTTAGAGAATTGCCGCATGCCTACTGAGGCTGAACAATGTGAGCTCCCAGGACTCCTCGACACAGGGGACTGTGACTGGGCACATGGGATAACAGAACTAAAGTTTCTGTGTAACTCTGTTTTCCTTCAAAATTCAAGTCCCAGTATTTCAGAGCTACACAAGTTAGAACCATCAGATGGTTACTCATACAGTAGTTAGGAAGTCTTTCCTAATATAAAACTAACTACCCTTATAATTAAGTTCTGGAATTTGTTGACTGGGAAGCTTCCAAGGGAGGCTGTGGAATCCCCATCATTGGAGATTTAAGAATAGATAGGACAAACATCTGTTAAGGATGGTCTAGGTTTAGTGAGTCTTGCCTCAATGTGGGGGCTGGACTTGACCTCTCAAAGCCCTTTCCACCCCTGCATTTCTATGATTATGTGAACACTCTTGTCTCAAGGAAGAATCCACTAACCTGATCTTTCACACATTCCACAGTGGCTCTGCGGAAAGGAGTAATGTTACAAGCCATCGTCTGTTCATTCTGACCAAGGACGCAGAGCTGAAACTTGACTGTCTCCCCCTTTTGCAGGCAATCACCCTTGTTTGCCATCCCCACAATTCCAAATGGATAGACCTCTCCTTTCATCTCCCCTAGCAGAGAGGGAAGGAAAACACTGTTTAAGATCTATTTCTATTCCTTCATGAGGAAGTATTTTGAAGTGTTTCTACATTGGACACAATGTCTTTTTCTAGCTAGAAACTGGAATTAAAAGTTTACGTAAGTTGCTAGTTTATAGTTTACTAATCTACAGCCAAAGCTCACTGTCAAACTATACCAAGTGTGAGCTGAACAGACTCATTAAAAGTAATCTCAACTTTACAAACAGTATGTTGGCACTTTAATGCAGGGAAGTGCTGAGTCAGGTTTGTTTCTGCTTACCATCCTCCATGACCTCAATCATTCCCTGGTATTCAGTCTGTGTGGGATCTACACTCCGCAGGGGGCGAATTACTTTACCCGTGTAGACAGTTGGATCAGCTTCCTCAGTGGCACCATTCACTGTAAAACAAAGACAGTACACACTGTTTAGATTACATAATTTGGGAGCCGAACCCAATGAGACCTTTACCCCTGATTGGGACCATTTGGTAACACTGCAGTATTACTACAAGTTTCTATATTCAGCACAATACCTGAGACATACAGAATCTAGCAAAGGGATGGGCAATTGTTAATCAAGAACCCAGAAGCTTCTAGAAACTGGATAGCAAACCGAAGAGTCAAAGGATTCTCATTCTACCCCATGGCAGCCTATTTAGGAAGGCTGAGTGGATTAGAGCATCCTGAGCCATTCTGATCACTCCCATTGTAGAAGACAGGAATCTGATGTTGCCACAGCATCACTACACTTAAAGCTTTGCAGACACGGATGTCTGAACTGCATTTCATCGTTTTCATTGTAAATACTTCCTAAAAGAGCAAAGACTACTCAGAAACAGCTCCCTTTTCTGGTGCACTTGATTTATGTACACTAGTATGTCAGGAGTAAAGACCATAAGAATGCTCATACTGGGTCAGACCAAAAGTCCATCTAGCCCAGTATCCTGTCTTCCCACAGTGGCCAACACCAGGTGCCCCAGAGGCAATGAACAGAACAGGTAATGATCCAGTCCCTGTTGCCTATTCCCAGCTTCTGGCATACAGAGGTTAGGGACGCCATTGATGGACCTATCCTCCATGAACTTATCTAGTTCTTTTTTGAACCCTGTTATAGCCTTCGCCTTCACAACATCCCCTGGCAAAGAGTTCCACAGGCTGACTCTGCATTGTGTGAAAAAACACTTCCTTTTGTTTGTTTTAAACCTACTGCCTATTAATTTCATTTGGTGACCCCTAGTTCTTGTGTTATGAGAAGTAGTAAATAACACTTCCTTATTTACTTTCTCCACACCAGTTGTCATTTTATTAGTCTTGAGGGCATTCTGTGGCAAAAAATTAAAAATTCTGCCCCCCCGGCCCCCAAAGTATAAAAGCTCTGCGCACAGTATTTTAAAATTCTGCAAATTTTATTTGTCAAATAAATGTGGAGGCTCCAGCATGGCATTGGGGACCCCAGGCCACTGGCTGCACAGAGGTGGGAGATGACTATGCAGCCCCCCCCCCCGGGGACACAGCGGTAAGGCTGCACCCAACCCTGATGCAGTGCAAGGACTGGGCCTGCCCCAGAAACACCCCAGGGCCCTGACCCTTTGTGTCAAGTGCACCAGGTGTGGATGGGCAGGCAGGCAGGCTCAGCAAAGTAGGATCCAAGTGTGAAGGAGCTTAGAGTGAGGGGAGCCTGGTGTGGGTTGAGGGGGCTCTGTGTGGGTTAATCTGGGTGGGAACGGCTCAGTGGGGGAACCAGGTGCAGGGGTGATCCGGATGCACAGGGGCTTGTTGGGGGGCGGGGGGGTGGTGGTGGTTCTGGGAGCAATGGTAATGGGACTCTGCAGGGCAGCCCAGGAGAAGGTGGTTGGGATTCAGCAGGAGATGTGTTTGGGTGTGGGAGGGATAGAGCTCGGCAGGGGGTCTAGGTGTGCGGGGCTCAGTGGGGTGGGGATCTAGGTGCAGCTGGTTGGGGCTCAGTACAGTGGGGATCTGGGTGCAGGTGGCTCGTTGGGGTGGGGCTCGTCAAGGGGGTTCTGGGTGCGAGGGGGTTTGGATGCACAGAGGTTGGGTTGATGAGAGAGCAGCTCCCCCTGAGAAGCGATGGGTGCAGAAAGTGCGGGGGGTGGGTTGGGGATTTGCAGAGCTTCCTATAGCCAGGGGAGAAATCGGGGGGGGGGGGGGTCCTGACACAGCCCCTGATACTGTGCAGGGGGAAGAGGAAGTCCAGTCCCCCCAGCCCAGCCGGGACTAGCAGCTGAGCCCAGCACAGGGTAGGAGTCACCTGCCGGGTCTTCTCCAGTCCTGCTCCGTGCCCCACAGTGATTTACCTCTCTGCCAGCTGCCCTGGGCACCTGAAACGTACTGCTAGGGAGGGTCACATGACCACTCTTGTGGCTTCCATGTCAGACAGTCCTTTTTTTTCCCCAGGGAAGCAAAGAAATCTGCAGGGGATAAATTCTGTGCATGCACAGTGGCACAGAATTCCCCCAGGAGTAAAATTTTAAAGACATCATATCCCCCCTTAGTCATCTCTTTTCCAAGCTGCAAAGTCCCAGTCTTATTAATCTCCCCTCATACAGAAGCCATTCCATATCCCTAATAACTTTTGTTGCCCTTTTCCAAATTCCAATATATCTTTTTTGAGATGGGGCAACCATTTCTGCATGCAATATTCAAAATATGGGTGTACCATGGATTTATATAGAGGCAATATGACATTTCTCAAGGCTCTTTTGTAAAGTATATTCTTCCTTCTGCTTAACCCAACCATGACCTCTTACCCCCATGTTTTTTCCACCCTGATCTTCTACTCCTTGCTGATCATTTTCTCTCTATAGATATCTTCTATGCACTGAATTCCCTCCCAGTCCCCAGATACCAGGGCAACAACCCTTTACTCAAATCCCCAAGAGACCTATTGTTAGGAATCAGCCCCCAAAACAAACAGAATTGAAAGTTTGAGGAAAGTTACCTAAGCAACTCTTCCTCGGGGCCTCACACAATCAACTTTCTATGCCCCCCCTTAGACTCAGCTTTTCATAACAGGTAGTCAATTGTCTTGTACAGTCACAAGCATGCTGTCAGGATTTGGTAGACAAGAATAATCCAATTCTCATACAACTCAGGCAGCGTGCTCTAGAAGCTGGAATCAGGTAAGAGCCACTATCTTTGAGCTGTTGCTGTCTACAGACTGTTCTTGCTTGATTAGCTCCCACCTCTCCTGACATAGTAAGCAGCTCTCAAAGGGCTCTTCCTAAGAAGAGGGGAGATGTCCTTCAGAAGTCCTAAAGTGACCAGACTAATTCTGGTCTGCTGTACACCATGATCACAATTTCTGTAATCGTGTTCCAGATGTACTTTAGACTAGAGTTCCAAGCAAGACACTGCCAGCCTTTGTCCATTAACCCAGAACTCCCTACAAAATTGCAAGTGCCCTTTTGCTAAGAGAGAAGTTACTGAACATAGTTTACCTGCATGTGTTTTGTTCACCTTTTCTGCACTGACTTTATTTCCTTTGCCTTTTGATAAGCTGTATTCCACCATGTCCCCAAGTTCCAGGCTATCGACATCACCAGAGAATTCACTGCATGGGAGAAGTTATGCACGTTTTGCTTTAGTTACATGCTCATCAACAAAGCCACTCACCCAGCAACAAAGTGGAAGGGACAGAACCTTTACACTTCAGCAGGCTCACCCATTTCATTACTACAAGACCTTACAATTTGGATGCAAGCGTTTTGCTCAATATTTACAGATTTAAATCTACCCAATAGCCATTTTTTTCTCTTCATACAAGAAGTTTACAGTAATCAATTTGGCTATTGGAACAGAGTGAAATAAATTATGCTTCCCATGAAGCAGGTCACGATCAGTAATCCAAGTCCAGGGCATGGATAATAAGACTTATTCTGAACCAGCAACTGTTAAGATAATGCATTAAATCCTGCATGAAGGATAGGCCAAAACTGAGCATCCCTTAAATATACCCGTGTTAAATGAAAGGACTGTTCCAAATCCCAAGAGTTTCCCAGCTCATTAGAAGTCAGGACTGCATCTCCGATCAACTCCCAAATTCTCTGCTGAGCAACTTACCTGATGTAGGATACTGGTTCCTTACCATTACATATGCTTGCCAGAGTGTCTTTGCCTGCTAGCAGGCAGTTAAGACTAATTCAGAAAAGGAGTCGGTCATCCCCATTACTCCTAAGGGAAGTCCTCTCAGAGAATACTGAAAATATACCTTTGCACCAGGAGTCTCAACCTGCATAATCCACCACCAATGAAGCTCTAAAAAAGTACATTCCTCTAGCTGTAGTTATACGACTAGTCTACGACACAATCTCTGAATACTTAAGATACAGGATGTTAAACAGCAAAGCCTGCAGCAGCCCTGTGGAAGTGGTTAATTAGAAGTTTCTCAGATACTTAAACTTATGCACATGGTGTGTAGAAAACAGATTAACACTCAGCAATATAAAAGGGAGTCACTCACCTGTAATGGAAGAAGATCTCCTTATCATGATTGGCCGTTTCAATAAATCCAAAGTTATCTTTCAGGGTTGCCACATACCCCACAAGCCTCTTGGAGTTGTAGTTGCGACCAAGCATTCTGACAGAAACTGCTGTCTGCAAACCTGTTCTCTTCACTTCACAAACACTGAATTCAACCTGTTTGTCAGAATGAAGAAAAAAAGTAAGTTTTGTATTTATTTTATTAGAATGGTTAATGAAATGTCTGCACTCTGGGGAGGAAGAGAGAAAGCAGTATTACTCCAGCCACTGCTCTTCACCCAAAAAAGGTGAAGTTATAACATCACACAATAAATGAATAAACTAAAATAACTGGCCACAATACAAATGGATGGATTTTTAAAACCTTTGCATTTCTGATCTTATACAGATCAGAAACATGGACACTGCTTATAGAAGACCTCAGGAAGCTGGAAGCATTTCCTATGCTTTGCCAGCAGTGACTACTATGCATAAGATGCTGATTTTTATCAGCAATGGGTATGTATTACTCAGACTTTAAGGCCAGAATCATGATCATGGATCATGATCATCCAATCTGACCTTCTGTATATATTGCAGGCCAAAGAACCTGAACCATTCACTTCTGCAGGAGGTCCATAACTTCTTGCTGAGTTACTGACGACTTCCAGTTACAGAAAATCCACCATCTACTCTAGTTCAAAGCAGCAAGTGACACAATGCTGCAGAGAAAGGTGACCAATCTGACCTGGGGAAAAAAATTCCTTCCATAATCCCCGATATGGCAATCAGTTAGACCTTGAGCATGGGGGTAAAACCCACCAGAGAAAGAATTCTCTGTAGTAACTCAGCTCTCTCCATCTCAAGCTGTTGGAGGGGGGAGGGATAGCTCAGTGGTTTGAGCATTGGCCTGCTAAACCCAGGGTTGTGAGTTCAATCCTTGAGGGGGCCATTTAGGGATCTGGGGCAAAAATTGGGGATTGGTCCTGCTTTGAGCAGGGGGTTGGACTAGATGACCTCCTGAGGTCCCTTCCAACCCTGATATTCTATGATTCTATGATATTTACTAAGTCACAGATGGGCCATGTCATTTTAGGCAATCACATCACCCCCTCCATGAACCTATCAAACTCAGTCTTAAAACAAGTTGTTTTTTGCACCCACTACCCACCTTAAAGGGTGGTTCAAAACCATACTCCTTCGATGGTTAGAATCCATTACCTAATTTCGAGCCTAAACTTGTTGGCCAGTTTACACCCATTTCTTCTTGTGCCAACATTAGTCCTCAACTTAAATAACTCCTCTCCTTCCCCGGTATTTAACCCTCATGTATTTATAGATAGCAAGCATATTTCCCCTCATCCTTTGTTTTGTTAGGCTAAACAAGACAAACTCCTTAGTCTCCTCTGGGTTCTTCCATTTGCCTGATCATCCTAGTAGACCTTCTCTGTACCTGTTCCAATTTGAACTGATCTTTCTTGAACACGGGAGACCAGAATTGCACAATATTCCAGATGAAGTCTCACCAGTGCTTTGCATAATGGTAATGACACTTCCCTATCTCGATTGGAAATACTTTGCCTGATGCATCCTAGGCCAGCATAATCTGCGCCCCCCCACAACTGCATCATGTTGATGGCTCAGTCATCTTGTAATCAACCAATTCACCCAGGTCTTCCTCCTCTGTTGTGTCCAACTGATTCCCAGTTTTTACTATAAATTCTTGTTGTTCATCCCAGGGTGCATGACCCTACAGTTTGCACCATTAAATTTGTTCCCATTTCTATTACTCCAGTTTTCAAAGTTGTCCAAATCTTCTTGTAGGATATTCCAGTCCTCTTCTGTATTGGCAACACTTCCCAACTTTGTGTCACCTGCAAATTAACAACACACCCCCACTTTATATGCCTAAGTCATTAATTAAAATGTTAAGGACTGGTCCCAAGACTGATCCTTGAGGAACTACATTAGTAGCCTCCCTTCAGCCTGGCAGTTCACGTTTCAGCATGACCCGTTGTAGCTTCTCCTTTAAACAGTTTCTTACCTACCTTTTGATTCTTGCATTAATCCCCATCTTCTAAAATTTAACTAATAACTTTCCATGTGGCACTGTATCAAATGCTTTACTAAAATCCACATAGATTAGATCTGCTGCATTTCCTTTTTCTAAAAGGAACATCAGTTATTTTCTCACAGAAAGATCAGGTTCATCTTTGTAAAACCATGTTGTATTTTATCCCAATTACTGTTTACCTCTGTGTCTTCAACTACCCTTTCAAAATTTGTTCTATCACCTTACATACAACTGAGGTCAAACTAATGGGCCTGTAGTTTCCCAGATCACTTTTTTCCTATTAAAATATAGACACCATATTTGAAATTCTCCAATCATTTGGGAACAATCTCTGAGTTTACAGATTTGTTAGAAATTCTTGCTACTGGACTTGCAATTCCATGTGCCAGTTCCTCTAATCTCCATCCAGGAATATTATCCAGGCCTGTGGATATGGTCCCATTAAGTGTTTGAGTTTGGCTTCCACCTCAAATGTGGTAATTTCTTCTTCCTTATCCTTATTCCCCATTAGTTACCCTGCCACTGCCTCCAAGCTCCTCACTATCCCTGTTAAAAACTGAGGCAAAGTATTTGTTTAGGTGTTGGTCCAAACCTAGATCTATGATCTGCACCCCATCCTCAACGCTTAGCACTCCCATTTCTTTGTTTTTCTTTTTAAAGTATGGATAAAGAATCTTTTACTATCAGTTTTAATTTCCTTTGCAAGGTCCAAATCTGCTTGGCTTTTAGCAGTTCTCACCTTTTCCCCTATACTTTAAGGCTTCCAAGAGGTAGCATTCCTTGTTGAGCCATTCATTCTGCTTTCTCATAGTAACTTGTTTCAGATGCTTTTCCCATCCAGTTTGACCTGCAATCCATCCCTACAAATTTTTTCCTCCTTGCTTGGGATGCAGGTTTTCGATACTTTAAGTTGCAGAAACTAATTTCAAGCCTCCTCCAACATCCAGATCCTTGAGTTCTTTAAAAATCGACTCCACTTTCCTAATTCCCTTAATTTTTTTTAATTTGCCCTTTCAAAATCAAGGACCCTGGTTGGAGACCTATTCTTGTTTATCCTTCCACTTAAAACTGAATTAACTCACGATCACTCGAACCAAGTTTGTCCTCTATAACCAGTTCTTGTGAGGTCCTCAAGACTTACCAGTACTAACCCTAAAATGGTTATGCACAAGCACTATCCCAGTAGAGCCTGTTACCATTCTCTCCCAAGTAATTTTGACCCAGTTTCCATTATATCCATTCCATCACTTCTACATTTCTTTAGTTTAACTCATCATTAATAAGCTATGCTACACTACCACCTTTGCCTTTTTCTGAACAGCACATACCCTTCAATTCCTATATTTTAGCCATGACGACTATTCCACCATGTTTCCATTATCCCTAGGATATCAGGTTTCAATTCCTGCACCAGCAGTTCTAGTTCCTCCGTTTTGTTACCCAGGCTCCTTGCATTGGTGTACAGGCACCTTAATTCTTTCTTCTTCGCTTCAACCATATTCCCTGCCCAACTACATACAGTCATTTTACTGCCAGTACTGCCCACCTGTTACTGTCATTTCTTCTTGTTATCCATTTGCTTACCCTCTGTTCCTTTCCCCATTACTGTATTATCTGAGTTGATTTTCCTCACTCTCAATATTAGCATCTCCCAACCATTTATCCTGAACTCCTAGTTTAAAGCTTTTAATCAGTTGTGCCAACCTCCATCCCAGAAGTCCATTTCCCTAATTACTGAGGTGGAGTCCATCCCATAAGAACAGTCTTCTGTCCAGGAATGCTTCCCAGTGGTCAGACATCCTCAAACCCCCTTTTAGCACCACTGCCTGAGCCATCTATTGATCATCCTAATCTTCTCCTGCCTTCACATACTTCCTCTAGGGACAGACAGAATCCCACTGAGAACAGGCCTTCAGAAGACTGAAGTCACCATCTGTCACAACTGTCTGGCACTTTTTCACCATATAGCCTGCTTCAGAGAAAGTCCCACACATTCAGCCCTCAAGACTGGACTTGAGCTCAGGAGAAGAAATTACCTGGCCATGGTCTGTAGGCGGCCACATGATTGTCCATCATTAACTTGGTTGGATCGGATCAGTACTAACCCTGTCAAGCCTTTAGACACCTGGAATACAGCTGTATAGTGTGGCCACGGACGCTAAGCGCTACAGAACTTTGCGGTTTAAGTGCATTGTTGAGGACTGCTCTTCAAACATCTACCCATTACACTCATATCTACTTCAATAGGTTCCCCTTGGACTTCCCTTACTCCATGTGAAGCAGCAAGTGAGCAGTAAGCAACTATTGCTAAAGGTAGACTAACCATGTAGCATGCTGTTATCAATTCTCGTACCCACATACAAGGTATTATTTCCCTATAGTTCACCTTTCTGTCCTACAGTTGTCTCCATCCTCAAGAAGCTTGAGTATCACAACACAGTCCATTTCAGTTTAGGTCTTGTGGGGAGGAAGGGGGTTATTAGCTTGAACAAATAGTATTTTCATGGTATGCCATCTGAAGACCAACCTCTCTATCTGGGTTTCCTTCCAGATCTTCTCATTGGTCCCTCTGCCTACTTTATGCATTTTATATCACCACCCACAGTAAGAATAGCCTCCCACACACCATGAACAAGCATTCTCCCTTTCCTTCAAATCCACTTTGCATAAAGTCTTTTCATACATCCTCTTGGACAGTCCTCACAGGAACACACGCAGACAATTTTCCCATGCATATTATACTAATTCAGTCTAAGCTCTTCAGGAACAATCTCCTACCATTTGAGCACCCTTTACATGTATGATGCCATATAAGTAATTACCAGTAAAGCAATGTACAACTCTTAGATGAGGCACACCGCAGGAGCTTCAGAAATATCTTCTGTATAATTGGCAAGGGGGGTGGAGGGGAGAGAAAAGAAGGAGGGAGAGAGAGGAAGGCTATTCACCAGGCCTGGTTGAAGAAGTGTACTGAATACCAAAATGGGAAAGGGAATGTATAACAGAAGAGGAAAAAACAGTTCACACATTATTCTTCACTCCTTTCTGAACTAGTCTTTGACCGCAATAGCTGGGTAAAGCAAAAGGTCACAATTTGTAGCTCACAGAAAGATCACATATATTTTGGGAACTTAGTTATATTGCCTTATCTCCTATCTGAGGGTTAGTAGATCCTTCCACATCCTTGGCCTGATAAGAAACAGTCAGTTTCTCTCCACAATCATCATACGCGATTATTCCCTCTTCAGCTTCCTAAAGAGAAATAACAAGATTCATTATAAAGCAGAGACTAATTGGTAGATGCATGCTTTTTAAGTGCGTGAGTCAATACAAATGCAGTTTATTTAACATTTGTTTTACACAATAGCTGTCCAGTAGTCAGTAAAGGCAATAACCAAATGGCAGACATACTTCAGAACCTGAAAATAGTATAAAATTTGGGACTATTCCTATCAGTTAAACATGGTTTACCTATACAACGTTTTTGAAATGGTGTGTGCCGCTATTTCAAATAGGCATTTAGCTGAAACTTATGTAGTGAGCACCGTCATTTTTGATGGTACAATTTTAAACACTTGGAGGCACGGATATGCCTACTCTACCTCTAGCCTGTGTTTTGGCAAATTCACACAACTTGGCGAGCCACTAACAAAGGAGGAGAAGTTTCCCACAAGGCTCTGAAGACAGTTATCCCACACAAGACTGGAATGAATGTTTTCAGCTACTACATCCCTTCTGAGAGCCCGAAGTTGCATTTCTATTATTCTGCTTCAGTCAAATACCAGCTGTTTAGCTGACTTTTACCATTAGCCATGCAGTACAGTCACTCATGACCAGGCAAATATTTCCAGAAATTACGTTAAATACATTTTATAAAAGTGTATCCTCAGTTCAAGGCAGAAAACTAAATAGCTAATGCACACCTAGAGAAACAGCATTACCTTCTCTTTGCTTTTATTTGGGCTAGTGGCTTTGGCAGAAGTGGCTTCTTTTTCTATAGTGCCCACAAAGCGGTGATCTGACTGGCTGTGGAATGAAACCGTGCCCTTAGGAAGCTTCTTAATCCTTATAGCATGATTTCTTTGGGCAGACAGCATATCCTGGAAAACAAGACCCACAGTACTTTAAAATGAACACAATACTTCTATTAGTATTTAAAAAGTTGTAATTTTACTCACAGGAACCACAGTAAACTCTACTTCATCTGAAATGTGGAGCTGGTTTCCATCCAGAATTTCACTGAAGTGAAAGAACATGCGGGCATCCCGATCAACACATTTAATGAAACCAAAGCCATCTCTCATTGCTGCAATCACACCCTGGGGACACACAAAGATACAGGACACCTTGTCAGTTGCTGCAGCCAGTGAAAAGTAATTAGAGTTTTTAAGATGTCTGTCTGCACAGAGCTGCACTTGTGGGATGTATAATATCCTTAGCACATGACCAGAGCCTTATAAGAATGACTGCTGGTACACGCACATGCTCCCTTGTAGATCACAGTACGCAACCCCAGGGACAAGAGGAGATACAAAATGGGTCCAACCCAGTTTCTTTTGCATTTCAAAGTCTCTGAAAAGGGAGAGGAGTGCAAGTATGGATCTTTATATGCAATCCCTAGAAGAGTTACAGCATAAAGAAGCATCTTTCCTTTTCAGAATTGCTGATATAGATCCCATTGTGGGAAACGAGCAGTAACAATTCTTAGAGGGTGGTCCAAAGGAAAAAAGTAATTCCAAATTTCCAAGACACATCATCCCAAGGCTCAAAACCTGCCTCTAAGGTCTTCTGTCCAGTGCTTGCAGAGCTAAGACTCAAGTGAGGAAGGGTCAGTAGTCCTTGTAAGAACTTCATAGGATGTACTATTGCAGAGGATTCATGCACAACCACAATTGTATGCAGATACAGCTACCAAGCGACCCTAAGAGAACTCAGGGAAAGTCTGGAACGTTTGACTGAAACCAAAGATATTTTCATCTTTAAAGCGTATGCTTCTCTTGTGAAAGATTTATGGCTGCCTAGAAAGATTAGTTTATTTTCTCATTCGCAATCAGTATCTGACCTCATGACTAATGCCTTGATCCCAGCTTCCAGAAATCACAGAATCATAGAATATCAGGGTTGGAAGGGACCTCAGGAGGTCATCTAGTCCAACCCCCTGCTCAAAGCAGGGCCAATCCCCAATTAAATCATCCCAGCCAGGGCTTTGTCAAGCCTGACCTTAAAAACTTTTAAGGAAGGAGATTCTACCACCTCCCTAGGTAACGCATTCCAGTGTTTTACCACCCTCCTAGTGAAAAAGTTTTTCCTAATATCCAACCTAAACCTCCCCCACTGCAACTTGAATATTTGATCTTATTTGATCAAATATTTGATCTCAGTGAAGAACCTGCCTTGCGACAGGATCTCCACCTGAACTGGCAGAAGAACTGAAGGTTTGATGCTAGCAAAACTGAGAAACCGAAGTTGGAGTTTAGTATGTAGCTGGGAAGAAAAACCATCCCATAAGAGACTAGTTCCCCGCCGTCTCTAACAGAAAGTAGGAACTCAAAATACCTCATTTTTACAAAGCAGAAATTTGAAGACAAACATCAATCTCTTTGAGAGACTTCATATTCAACATTGCATTTTCAGCTCAGGAAGGCACCCAAGGTATTTTCTTTGCTTGAACTTGTCAAACAGTATTTGAACACAAGTAATTTAGGTCTTTCTGTATGTGAGTAATTCCTGATTTCTGCCAAATAGTTTGGACTAAGTTCAGACCTTGAATACTTTGTGAATTGTTCATTACAACTATCCACTCTCTGCAATAAAGAGCATGCAACTGGTCACATGGTATCATTTCCGCTCCATTACTAGAAAAGAGACTAACAGGCCAATGGTGAGTAATCCAGATCTGGGAAGAATTTCAGGAAACATGCACCATTTGTGAACACTTTCATGAGTGCCAGTTGTCACCCAGCTACTCAAACAGTATGACCAAAGAGTGAGCTATTTAGCTGCAAATATTTTTTCTAAGTCAATTAGTTCCAGGTCTTTGCTGAGTAAGTAAAAATGCTACCCAAACTGCTTCTTAAAATGGATACCAAGGGCAAGCTCCTCCTTGCCCACTTCTATAATATATGGAAAATGCATGTCAGGACTTACAGCAGAAGAAAAAAGTTCTTAAGGCAGATCACCTAGAGTTTAGTATATTTTATGGTGTATGGTTGGATTTGAGATGCTGAATTATATGGTGGCCCAAGCAACTTCCCCAAATTATGCTGAAACCACAGTTAATTCCTTTTCAACTGTCTATAGGGATGAAAGGCATCCCCCTCAGCACATTCTATGGTGTTGTCCACCACAGAGTCTGAGCTCCTGAAATCACTAAGAAGCACAAGCTGTCCTGTGAAGAAAAAAAATGAAGTCTTTTAACCAGCTTTCCATCAAACCATACTGAAGGTGTCACATGTGCAGGAAGCCTCAGGAGGAACCTTATGGAGCGGTCAAGTAGATCCTGCAGCAGCTTTTTTCTTAAGCTTTGGGAATCTATCCCTTGGCAAGCATGCTGTTAGAGACTTTGCATCCAAAAACAGCTCTATGAATTCCACTGTGAATTGGAGCAAACGGATTTTTTTATGCTTGGATTTTTAGACTAGAAGTAGAGGGCACGCACAGTCTGAAGAGCTAACAAGTTCTTATGTGGATTTAGAGAGGAACAATTGGGGGTTAACATCAGTTTTCAGAGTCTGAACCTCAGGGTGAGTGGATTGATTTAAAAGTTGGCAAACAGGAAGCCTTAATTTAAAATACAATAAAACCTCAGCATTATGAACTGACTAGTCAACCACACACATCATTTGGAACCAGAAGTACACAGGAAGCAATAGAGGAAAAAAGCAAATACAGTACAGTACTGTGTTAAATGTAAACTACTACTAAAGGGAAAGCATTTTTCTTCAGAGTAGTTTTCAGTGAAGATGTCAAGAGATGCATTAGAATATATCAACTTAAAACAAAAAACCCTCAGAACAATCCTGATTAAGCCATCATACCTCCCCCCCCCGCGCTGCGCCCCCCCCCCCAGTACACGCCTATATACAAAGATCTATTTTTTTTTTTAAAAGATACTTGCCATTTCTCTAGCTTCACTAGTAAACTGGAAAGTATTGTGAAGAACTTCAATATTGGTGGCTCGTTCCAATTTGTCACGTCGATCTGTAGAAATGTTGAATCTAACATGGTCACCTTCCAGCAGTGTCACCTTGGATTTTGTATCTTTGTCTCCAAATGGAAGTTCCTTAGGAATCACAAAGTCAACTTTGATGCGTCCGGGCAATGGGTCATTCTGGTGGCCCCGTAGAAAGGAAGAGAAATTTTTGATGAACCAGCTATTCCTTCCAGACTCTAAACTGAGCCTTGAAAGAAATTCATTAGTTGTATTTCAACTGACTATGAATTGGTCTTTGAGTTTTCCCGTAAGTATCAGTAGATTACTACTTAGGACTTCAGACCTCAGATTTTACATATGAGAACACTAAGACAGAGGTTAAGTGACCTACCCAGGGTTACAGCAATTCAGTGGCCCATGCTGCCTGCCTCCTACATAAAACTAATAAGACTTCAGCGATTGCCCCAAAACAGAACTCATTAATGTTTTCAAGCACTTGTTGAATAGAAGTGTCAACCTGTTTCTATATTCAGCCTTCTGACTCGCAGATGGGGTAGTATGTCTAATGTAAGAGCCCCTTGAGCCTCAAGACAATCACAGGAAACAGATACCTTCTACGATAGAGTATTTTCTTGAAGAAACAAGGATACAGTAACACAAACTGTTCTGAAAGGTGAGGTACACCTATTAGGCTTTCCTCAAAAGAAACATCAAACAATGTCTGCATTTAGGACCTTGGATGTTGTCCGAGTTATCACCCACAACAATCCTCAAGAAAAAAAAACAAACACAAAAACAAAACCCCAACCCCCAAACTTTTCAACCCAGCAGCAGATGAAAAGATCTGTCTCCGTCCTTTTAAAAGGCAGGATTCTCCCCCCACCACAGTCCCTTTCTTTAGTTCACATTTCCACAACAGTTCTTTTCATTCAGATGATCGTTTTTACCATTCACATAAAAATGTAGAGTCATCTTAACACTTGCTCTTTAACCTTCCCCATTGGTAGCAGCCACTACAGATACAAGTAGTGATTTTTTAGTAACATAACATCCATAATGTAAAAAGAAAAGGAGTACTTGTGGCACCTTAGAGACTAACCAATTTATTTGAGCATGAGCTTTCGTGAGCTACAGCTCACTTCATCAGATGTTTACCGTGGAAACTGCAGCAGACTTTATATACACACAGAGAATATGAAACAATACCTCCTCCCACCCCACTGTCCTGCTGGTAATAGCTTATCTAAAGTGATCAACAGGTGGGCCATTTCCAGCACAAATCTAGGTTTTCTCACCCTCCACCCCCCCACACAAATTCACTCTCCTGCTGGTGCTAGCCCATCCAAAGTGACAACTCTTTACATAATCAAGTCGGGCTATTTCCTGCATAGATCCAGGTCCATGTAATAATTTTACTTTGAATAATGTTATGGGGCTAAGATGCTAGAATCTAAACTGTGCTGTTGGAGATAAAACCCTCTCATACCACTCTACAGCAGAATCTTCATGTTTCAGCATTTGTGCTGAAATGTAAGAGCAGCACAATACAATTTGGACTAGATGAACACCTTTCTTCTGTTTCAGCCATGCAAATGTTGGGAAGATGACCTCTAAGAAATATTTAAATTTACCTGATTTTTGTTGGGTACTTTTGGGATTACTTTGGTTACAGTCCCATCAAAATGTTCAATGCTGATATCTTCAAAAATAACAGTTCCTTGAGGCAGTAGTCTTACATCTGTTGCGACTTCTTTACCCTATGAGCAGAAAGTAAATCAAAACAAGGTAAGAGGTATAAGTTACCAGAAGACTGTCAGTTTTTATATGTATTTGAATCTTGTCTTCAATTTTACTGAATTTGATCTTACATTTCTGTCTTTGATTGTAAACTCCACATCATCACCAGGCTGTAAGGCTTCTAAGTCACCTTTAAATTCACTATAGTGAAAGAATATCTCCTTTACGACATCGCCCCTTTCAATAAATCCAAAAGCCTCCTAAGAGAACATACAATGTTTAGCAAATAGTCAACTGTCTAAAACACCAAGACAATAGCTTTACTTTGAAGTCTGATAAAAAGTAAAGTCCTCAGATAAAACCAAGCAATGAGAAAAAGCCAAATAAAATGTTGCAGACTAAGTGTGCCCCCAGATGATCTACAGCAGACTTAACCACTGGAGACTCAACCAACCTCAACCACCGCTGGTGGCCCCAGCAACCAACACCAAAGCAGTGCATCCAGGAGCAACAGGGAGGGGCTTCTACTCCCTCCTCCCCCAAAAACAGCCCAGGAGGCTGTGACCACAAGAAGAGCTCCTGGTGGTGTCATTTGAGAAACGCTGATCTACAGCTACTGAACCATTTGTATAAAGATATTTTTGAAACTTAAGACACATATAATGGGAAAAACAACATTACTACAGCCATCTTAAAGAAAAGAAATAGTCAAGAGTAATTGTGTTAAAAACTGTTAATGGATCAAGTCCTGAAGTGTTTAAGTGCCTTCTGTGCCCAACCTTTACTACGCAGAGCATATACATATATTGTGCCTTTCAAACAGCTCTAAAAAGCTAAGAGTAAATCCTACTTACCTTCATGGCACAAACTACTCCTTGACAGCGGGCTTGTTTCTTTTTCAATAGCATAATGTTACGAGCACTTACAGCACCAGTACTAGGAAAAAGGGTAGATTACGATGACAAAGTGGACCTAAGCAGGGCCTCATAACAATTAGACAAATTTCATAAGCATATCAGATTTAATACAACTTTCTTATTTGCTATTTGACAGGGCAAGGTAGAGGAAACTAGAACATGCTACTCTTGCCAAGTAAAACTAAAAATCTTTTAAGTAAAGGTCTATTTAGCTAATCTTTTCTTGCTTTAAATATACACCCATTTGCAATTTAAGATCTTTGAACTAAAGCAAGAAATGCTAGACTATTATGTTTGAGATTCGATGGTTCTTTACAGAACTAAATATAAGAGATGCAATTACTTTTAAACTTGATAAAAGTACTTGCATCAGACATACGGCACCTTTGGCCAACACAATCAAAAAGACAGTTTCAGGAATTCTGGTAAACAAGTTTTGATTTCTAAATCTTGTGTGTAAGCACTAGCTTCTATGATAAATTGGAGAATTGGTCTGAATTTAATCAGATGAAACTGAATACAGATAAAGCCAAGTCCTACATTTAGGAAGGATACAAAAAAAATCAAATGCAAAACTACAAAATGGGGAATAACTGGCTATACAGTAGGATTGGTGAGAAGAACCTGGAAATTAGGGGTGGGGGGAAATCAAACAACGTAAATGTGATACAGTTTCAAAAATGGCTAATATTCTGGCATTTATTAACATGAGTGTCATAAGATAGACACGAGGTAATTATCCCACTCTGCTCAGCACTGGTGAGGCCTCATCTGGAGTACTGTGTCCAGTTCTGGGTGTCACATCAGGATACATGTGGACAAATTGGAAAGAGTCCTGAGGACAGCAATAAAAGTGATCAAAGGTTTAGAAAACCTGACCTATGAGGAAAAAGTAAAAAACCAGGCATGTTTAGTTTTGAGAAAAGAAGACTGAGGGAGGACCCGATAACAGTCTTCAGATATACGTTAAGGGCTGATACAAAGAGGACTGTGATCAGTTGCTCTCCATGTACACTGAAGGTCGGACAAGTAGTAACGGGTTTAATCTAGACGGAGGAAAGTTTAGGTGAGATATTATGAAAATCTTACTAACTATAAGAGTAATTAAGCTCCGTAATAGCATTCCAAGATAGGTTGTGGAATCCCCATCATTGGAGGTTTTTAAAAAACAGTTTGGACAAACACCTGTCAGGGATGGTCGAGGTTTACTTGGTCTTGCCTAAGTGCACATGACTTCTCAACGTCCCTTCCAGCCCAGCATTTCTGAACCATCACACCACATTGTTAATTCGGTGTGTAATAAGAAAATAGAAGTATCAACTTACTGTTTATTTGTATCAATTACAAAATTTATTTTATCTCCAGTTTCCAGCTGTACATTTCCATCAACATCCTCAGGGGTGTAAGTCAGGTAAAACACTTCCTGTAAATTAAGGTTCGCTAGCATTACTCTATTTGCAAAACGCAGCCTCGCCTTAAACAAGATTAAATGTCAATGTGGCATTAATTTAATAATTATTTTCCATTTCAAGTTACACTATTTCAACATTTGTGAAAAGTTGGAAATTGTGAAAACGTTGCATGCGAGAACGTTTTGGTTCCTTGGTGCTCGTGGTTTTGCTGAGTCCATACCCAGCAACTTGAGGAGTTGAAAGGTTTGTACACAGTATTACCATTACATTTAAGTTGATTTCCAAAGGGTAAAAGCGTTAAGTTCAAGAAAATAAAGATCCTATGAACAGTTAGTTGTTAATATTAACTGACATTAAATCATAATCATAACTAGTAAGAATCTATAACTAGGTATTTAGTTCTACATTAAATCCTTTAACAAAGTTATTATGGCAGAGTAAGTTGTAAAAAACATATGGAAGTCAACAGAGGTTTCTATATTTGTGGTAATTAGTGGTTGTAGTTCTTAGAGAAAAATTTAGACTGGGTGACAACTGCAGTTTAAACTGTCTACTTCAAAAACAAGTGCCAATTTTTATTTTTTTTTCTGTGTACAGATCACACTGGTTGGTCACTCAAAAGTTTAAGTAAAATACATGAGTTTTACCCCATTACGTTCGTAGCATACACTCCCTGTTGGACTCTGACCCGGGGCAGCTGGAGATTTACTCTCTAAATTGTGAGGAACAGCGCACACAACCTACCAGTCAAAAAAAAAAAAAAAAAAAAATCCATTGCTAATCATTTCAGGAGCAGCACTGTGCAATACAAACTGAACTTTAATATCCTCTACTACACACTCAGGGATGCACTTTAAATGTAATCCACAAGAGGATGCCATGCTGCAAAGTTTCAAACTCACAGTACTTCTGCTGACTGTAAGAAGTGTTTGGGGTTAAATAAAAGCCCAAACTGAATCTTCATATTTTTGCCAAAGTCAGATAAAAAACAATTTCAATTTAATTGAAAAATTTATGCAACTAAGATTATGCGTGCAAAAATGGGATTTGTCCTTTTGTATTAGAATAAAATGGATATAAATTATTTGCATATAGAAATTAGACATCAGAGCAACTAACTTGTCCATTTATTCGCTCTTCAGGTAAAATTTCTGGTTTTATCTTCACCAATTTAACAGCAATGGGTTTTCCAGTTCGGCGATCAGAAGATACTTCAAATTCAACATCATCTGCAAGAATCAAAACCACAATAATGACACAGGACTCTCAAGCGCCATATTCACATTGTCTATTTAAAAAAAAAAAAATCAAAAAAATAAGCAGGAACAAAAGGACAAACAAAAAAAAGTAATGGAAAGGGAGGGAAAAGGAGAAACACGCATAAAGTAATGACATTTATTTGCTCTACACTCTGCTGTCTGAACACAAGTGAACCCTTACTGCTGTTGGAGGCCATTTTGCTTGTGGAAGTTTCTCCTGATAATAATCATCAAGTCTATTCTCCCCTTTTGCTAATGATCTGCGTTTTAAAGTCTTGCCACTTCCAACCTAATTCTAATACCTTCAGCTCACTCAATACTAAACGACATCAGGTTCCATGATAGATGTGTCGTGAAATTCTGTTTTTAATCTTTACTGCCAGATCAAGCAGAACTGTGGGGGAATAATGTCTCCCTACTGAAATAAGGTCACCTATCCCTAGTGTAACTCCACTGAAATTAATGGAGTACATCTGGGAATAACGTAGCCTATGGACTCACAAACAGGGGGAAGTAGGCAGAAGATGTATTGATTTTTGTATATAGTTTCCCTATCCCTAACACTTAAGTTTGTCCCAGCATGACTCCTTCTCAAAGGTAGCCATAAAACAACATCACTGACAGAAGACAAAAGCCTTAAATTACCAAGGATTTTCTCACATTGGTTTTCCTTTCTACTGGGAGATTTCTGATTCATTTGTCAGTTTAGCCACTCAGAAGTAACTGTATATGTCTGTAGCGGTGGTTAGATGTATCAGAACTGTGTTACAAGGTATAAGACTGCAATTCTTAAAAAAACCCTCAAATTAGAATGCAGATGTATGGAGTGGAAAATACAGTAAGCAGGAATATTCCTGCTTACTGTATTTTCCACTCCATACATCTGATGAAGTGGGTTATATCCCATGAAAGCTTATGCACAAATAAATTTGTTAGACTAAGTTGCCACAAGGACTCCTCGTTGTTTTTACTGATACAGACTAACATGGCTACCCTTCTGAAACCTATTAGAATGCAGAGAATCTTATTGGTTGACTTATTACCTCCTACTTTAAGCTCCTGCAGGTTGCCATTATACTGTGAACAGTGGAAGAACAGTCTAGCTTGTCGTTCTGAACACTGAATGAATCCATAAGAGGTCAGCAGTTTTTCAATAACCCCAGTTTCACGCAGTGCTGCCGAAGTACCATTGGGGTACCCGTTGTGTCCATTGTTGTGGAGAAGGTTTGGATCAAAGCTCATCTATTTAAAGAAATGAAAGGTAAGCTATAACTATTCCAAAACAAAGTTTCTCTTCCCCACCCTTGAAAAATCTTACACCAGTACATGATAAGTATAATAAATATGAAGTGAAGAGCCAGTTGAATGTTATGAAAAGACAACTGGCCAACAGGCAAATAAAATTTTGGACAATTCTTCATGATAAATTAAACTACTTTAGAGATATTCTAAGATAGTTTCCTAAATTTGAGTATTACCAATAAATTTAACAAAAACATGTTGTAATGATGACATAAAAATAATGTCTGCTCATCAGGTCAGATTTCATTCTAATTTACCCAGGCATGTTATTTTGCTTTTTTAAAATTAAATACTGTATTAAGAGCATCCTCAATGGAAGAACTCTTATAGTCACTGCTTTACGTTTGACAGTCTTAAACTAGAATTAGGATCAAGATAAAATATGACCTACTTTCACTGATGAAGTAGGTCATTAAGGAAATTAGGCAATATTAAGATTCTTCCCACATGGAACTAAAACATTTATAAGGCTTTTAAATAGCCACATTTTATTTAAGCATGTTTGTATATATTTGGTGACTGTCAAAGTTAAAGTTTTAGTTAACCAGTGAAAAAGTTTTAACCTGATTGTCATAGTAGTTAAATGTTGGTTGGAGCTTGGCAGGACTTTTAAAAAACTTAATTCAATAATAATGGAATTAGAAGGAAAAAAAGTTAAGATTTATTCAACCATCCTTTAACTTTTCTCTATAAAAGACTCTTCTTTAAATACATTTCAGAATTGTGTGTATCTGTAAAGAACTATTTCTTTAGATTTATAAATATGCAACGTGGGAACCCCCCATTGCTCTGCATAAGAATCCCTTATTCTTAACACTTTGATACTTGGAAGTAGAAGTGTGCTATTTATGTTTTAAAATAAGATCAAATTAGTAACCATTATAAAAAGGAGGCCCTAACAAGAAACCATGAACATCGTGCAATTCACAGAGAGCAGTCAAGACAAAGTGCCATCAACATGCAGTTTGAGATACTACATTTAATGTTTTCACTTGTTGCAGTTTCCAATGTATCTGTTTAAGAAACTGATTGCAGGTTTCCCTTTTGTTCTCAGATACCTATATATTCTGATCTGTCACAGCACCAAGCAGAGTAACACTCAAAACTAGTTAACATTAATAGGGTTAAAAGGCTTCAGAATAGCTTGTATAATGGCAATACTTTTTAACTACAGAACAGAGGATTAGGCACTCAGTGTACTCAAGTCTATGGTTAAGCAGTGCATATTAGCGTTTGCCAACCAGAGTGAAGTTAATGATAGAGGCAGGTAGCACAACTCTGGCTGTAAATTTCTTAAGCCACAAAACAGTAGTGGATTTCCTGTTAAGTAGGATGGACAGTAAGCCTAGGGCAATCAAATACCTGCAAGGGTCAGGTTCTGACTCTTTCTCAAAGAGAAACTACATCAATGCTTTGGGTGGTGGCATAAGAGAAGAGTGACATGATTTTTAGTCTGGAAGTTATTGCTAACCGAGGGGACTGTGCTTGCTGCTTCTCAACAGAACTTCACTTGGAACACGTTACATACGGACTTTTTAAAAGTGAAGAAGTGTCATTTAAGGGTGTCAACAGAGCCCACAAGTGCTGTTTTAGTTTTATGATCCATCCCAACCCCTCATTTTATAGTTTAAGATTAAAGGCAGATGGGGTAGCTTACACTAGGAAATAGTCACAGTCAATAATATACATCCCCACAGGATACACTTGGACCAAGTGGCAGTTAAACACACACACACACCCCAAACAAAGCGGGCCGGAGGGGAGGAGGCGCGGGGAATGACATTTTCATGTGGTAAAAGTTTCTGAAACAGATACAGGGAAAAAAAAAAAAGTCTAGGATTTCCAACTGGCTCAGAAGGAATTGGATTCTTTAACTTGTTAAAAGGTTTGATATTAGAAAAGTTGAAAAGAGAGAATGTGCAAAGTTGTTAGCCCCTAAGATTCCCCATGCTATTAAAACAGATGTATAGACTGCTGCCCTGACTTACAGATCTCTGATACAGGGGGGTCCTCTTCTGCTTTTTAGACCCAGATGAGGTAGAAGATGAAGAGAAAGGTAAAAGAAGAGAAGGAGGGGGAGCTGCAGGAGGGGGGAGAGGATCTGATGACACAGTATAATGGTTCTCCATCTCATACAGCTGTGATAACATAGTACAATATTATAACTAGTCAAAATTTAGCACAACTTTAAAGACACGCAAGTCAATGTTAGTCAAGTCCATATCCTATAAGAGGTTAAACTAATTAGAACTTCACACTGAAATAGTAAACCCGCATTTCAGTTGTTTGCACAGGTTTACTGAATTGTTTTCAAGAAAAGCATACATGGCTACATTTCTAGTCCTGCATTTCCATTTTCTTTCCACTCACAGGTTGGCTCAAATTAGCAGGAGCATAGCCAAGTGCTACACAAAAGCTAGAGGCTAAAAGGGGATAAACATTGGAAGGAGAAGTGTATAGAAGTACCTCTAGAGCAGAGGTAGTTACCACAGATGTTGTACATGGACTAATTAAAATCCTCTAAACTACAATTATAATAGCAGTTGCTAAAAATCAACTCAATTCAGAGCCCCTTTCATCTTCAAACTTCTTCCATTGTACAGTATGCTCCCCACTAGAACAGGATAGATGGTATTCTATTGTCCCATTTTAAAGGGAGAGCAGAACAGATTAGTTTAATGGAAGCAGTAGTTACCACTTCAGCAAGATTGAACCTGACACTACCAACAGTTGTCAGGGGATCGGATATGGCTCCCACTGAAACCTGTGGGAAGATTCTCATGGACTTAAATGGGTACAGGGTCAGGGTTTTGCTTTGTATCTATGCCAGTGGAGAGTTCCTCCAAATTAAATTCCATAGAAATCCTGTGTCCAACAATACATTACTCAAATTGGAATATCTGAGAGTTGAAAGAATAGTTAAGTCTGACAGAACCTATAATTTTAGGACGGCTTGAGTGTTCCATCTTTCCCATTTTTATTAACGTTCTATATCTTTCATTATAAAAGCTTCTCTGTGACCGAGAGGGCAGAACATAGACGAAGACAAATCCTGAGCGGTGCTGAGCACTTGAAAACTCATCTATTCTTACTGGAAATTGCAAGTGGTACACTTCCTGCAGAATGCAGTCCTTCATGTAATTTCCAGAGCAAGCTGAACCCTTCTATTGCCGTGGATTTTAACTGTTCTCCATTTGGTATAGTAGCAAAATTGCTGGCCACTGTACAAGCCTTAGTTTAGGCAGCTGATTTCTCTTCAGCCATATTTAGCATTTTATTAAAAAGCCTTGAAGCATGTCATAGAAAGATCTGTTCTTCCATGGAGCTAGGGTACAAGTGAAAATACTAAAAACTAATCATTTATGGTAAATATTAGATAAAAATGCAAACAGTTTTATGAACAGTTTCTGTACAGTCAAGTTAACTATCCCAGGTTTTGTTGCCATCACATTAAAACTTGTAACTGAACAAAACAAGTTTGGATCAGTAAAGTTATATGTGAGGCAGGACACTTTCCTTCTCCTGTGAAAACAGTAACTCCACCAAACTGCTTCAAAATCATTTTTCCTATTTTCTTGGGACATCCTAAGCGACAGGAAACATTTCATATTCAGGTTTCAGAGTAGCAGCCATGTTAGTCTGTATTCGCAAAAAGAAAAGGAGTAGTTGTGGCACCTTAGAGGCTAACAAATTAAGGTGCCACAAGTATTCCTTTTCTTATTTCATATTCAGTTATATCAGAATAAGAGAGATTTTTCTGCTACGCTGGAATTTTTAGAGCTTTCTGATAAGCCATAATGATGTGTTAAAAGAATGTGTTAAATGTTAAAAGAATGAATCCATACAAAAGTGAAAAGCTTTTAAGAAACCTGACCACTTTACCTTAGTCTTGTTCAGACTGATGCAATTTCTCAACTCAGTAATAACTTCTATGACTGAATAAGATGTTTCAAATATGAAACCCCACAGACACCAGGAAAACAAATCAAGTATCAAGAAATACATCAACTAAAGCTTAACACAAGAATTAGTTACATTCTCAGTTTAAACATTAGCAAGTAGTACAAGCTTTAGAGAACACCTAAAGAGTTTTAGTTGCTATACCAAAATGTACTAGTACATGATATCATGGAGATAATATCAAACGTACTTACCACTACAACACTAGATCCAAAGACAAAATGCTAAAGCTACAAGAAGCTTCAAAACCATAACCGTGGTATATTCAGACAGATGCTCAAAATATCTTTATTCCTTAAATGTTACAATGATCAGAACGCCCTCATCAGCTCTACACTGTAGCAGAGCCTTCTGCCATAAGCCTAAATCAGGCCAGAATTTCAGTCTTTGGGATACCCACCTTCAAAGTGGTGCAGCCCCTAGGGCACCTCCCTCTGTAAGGCAGACAGCATCAAGGGAATGCAACACCCTTAAGTACTCCCTATAGATTGGCTTTAACAGCCATCAACACTAAAATTTATTTTAAAAAAGAGGAGCTGGTGTCCTGCAAACTGTCAGTAGTGAGGAAATGGTTGGGGGAAGGGAATGAAATGATTTTCAAACTGAAAATAGTTCAGCAACAGTATGGGTGAAGCAATTAACCTACTCTGGAAGAGCTATAGTGATGGCGGCAGACACCTCACATTGATAAGAGGGCCCCAAGTTTTATTAAATCCATTTGAAAAATGGACTCTGCATGCTTCTGAAGTAGAACTGCCAGTAAATGCCAGATATCTTGGAACTAGAGGTATTCAAGTGTTACAAATATGCAAAAAAATTAAAAACTACGTTCAAAAAAACCTCAACTAACAAGGTAAAGACACTTTGCTGTCATTTCTCTTGCTCAAAAGGAAGTTTTTGCATTATACCATTTGAGCTAGTTTGGGTTTAATTTTAAGACATTCCAGAATGGTGAAATTTTTTTTTTTTTTTAAACTGATTGGCCATAAGATAAATTCAGTCCAATAGGAGATGCATTGCCCAGGTTGACACGAACATATGCAGTAGGGGAAGAAAACAGCAAGGAAAATTCAACAAGTTCTTTCCAAGCGCTTGATGTATTTCTACATCTATTTCAACTTAATTTTATAATGCTGAATATAACAAAATCAAACACGGTAACTGTGTCAATTTATATGGGCCGCTTATCCAGAGTCCCATCACAAAAGGTGCTCTTGAGGCAGCTTCCAAACAAGAGGCCAGATTTAAAAAAGGTTGGCATTGCTGTACTAGTCTACAGAAGCCTGGATTGTTTTTTTGCAATGCAGAAGCCAGATGCTTTTTGCTAGACTGGACCCATGGGTACTCTCCAACTCAGCAGTCCACTACTAAAAGAAGTCATCTTGTACATCTAACCTTACAGTTTACAGATGTGGGGACTATCAACTGCAGCAATATCCGTATTTGAGGATAAATAGGAATTTTATTAAAAAAGATAACGATTTAAAGCATTAGAGTAAACTGATATTTCAAGAGAAACCTGGAAAAAATTGCAGAAGCTTTGAGAAATGATTGCATGCATTTACAAGGTTGCTTTCATTTAAAACTATTTATGGGGTGTCTTTAGGAATTGTTACTTGTAGTTTGTACGCACTTGGCCAGTAATGGAAAGCAATCTGGTTCTATTAATTCTACCCTCATACATTTGAGACCAACAAACACTAGCCTATGCAATAGTGAAAATTTGTTAAGTTTTATGTTATATGCCAAATAATTGAAGGATTTAGTTCAGAACCATTTATAACTGTTTAATATAGATAGTACATGCACCAACCTCGCAGTGATATTCAAATATTGCACTTTCAGTAGTATTCGCGGATTCTTCTGTTTCAGCACACGTTTCAAAGTATGAAGACTGCTATTATTAAAAAAAAGACAGCGAGAGGAAAATGATCTATCAAACTACTAAAGAATATAACTGCTGCTGCACTGGGGAGTTTCAGTGCAGCACTGGAGAAAACAAAGACTACTAGCAGCGTTGGGACGTGCTCTTTTGAAGCTGTTGAGTAGGCACAAACTTCTTGTTTCAGATCAAGTGTTGTGTCTTCAGTGTAGGTTTACTCTTCTTTGGTCTTGTCTTGTTGTTACAATGTGGCGTGTTCCTTTCCTGATCTGAACTTGAAGCAGCAGTTTCAGGTGGTAAATTCTGTTCTGTTACACTTCATACTGGAGAAGGAAAAAAAAAAAACACAAACACACACTAAGTATACTTGGGATAAACATATTACAGACCATAAATTCTGACCACCAGGTACTTTGCCACTACCTTAATGCTGCAGGTTTGTCCCATGATGGGCAAGATTATCTGCTTTTACAGATGCCCTCTAGTTTTCCCATTTTTGGTCTTAGATACCCAAGAGGATCCACCTCCAACCACGAAGAGAACAAACATTTCCAACTCATGACGGCCTCTGCAGATGCAGTAATGCTTCCCAAGAAAGCAACAAATTTTATTACATATCAAAACACTGCAACAGTAACCTTGCTTTGATCAATACCAAGTGAACAAAAGGTGTCATTTATGTGAATTCGAACCTTTTCCCCTAAACTGTTTATATCAGGGATCGGCAACCGGCAGCACAAGAGCTGATTTTTAGTGGCACTCTGCTGCCAGCCAGGGTCCCGACTGCCAGTGCCGCTCTGCCCGCTGCCTGCCTGGATGAACGGAACTCCAGGCTGGCAGTGGGCTGAGCAGGGCCGGTGGCCAGGACCATGCCTGACAGGGTCTGGTGGAGGGAACCCCAGACCGGCAACAGGCTGGGCAGCTCAGCCCGCTGCCGTCCTGGGGTCCTGGCACCTGACAGCCGGGGTCCTGGCCACCGGCCCCGCTCAGCCCACTGCCAGTCTGGGGTTCCGGCTGCTGGCCCCTGGCATGCAAAACCTTAAATTACAGTAAATAAATGAAGACTTGGCACACCACTTCTCAAAGGCTGCCAACCCCTGGTTTATATGATCCATTTGACAGCACTTTATGTTTAGTCAGTTTCACAGTTTAATCAACAAGCCTTTCCTGCTGTTAATGTGGGTCTTGGACACAACCAGAAACTTTAAAAAAAAACCCCAATGTGGTCAGGGAGATATAGGTGCAGGTCTAGTACCTAGAACTACACTGTCTTTGTATAAACTTAACTGATTTGCAACTGATGGTGTCCCCTGAATCAGTCATTGCTGTAAGTGAACAAACAGTATACTCGGACAATATAGATAAGTTGTACCATCAAGTGTCATTTTATGACATTTCAAAACCTCATTATGCAACACCTAGAGCCAATGAACAGCATTAATATTAGACTATTTCTGTAGTAATCTCTGGGCATTACAATCCTTTCCGAACATGTACTGTTTCAATTTCCACAAGCAGAGGGCTTAAAAGGGAAACAGACATCTAATATATTGGGCTACTAGGTGAAAGATAAACGATTTAGGGCATAAATATATCCTGCACACAAGCCAGTACAAGTGTGTTCCCTGGATGGGAAAACAGTGAAGTTACATATTGCACAATTGGTTGAAACACTACTCATTGAGAAGTTATCAATGGCTCACTGTCAAACTGGGAGGGCATATCTAGTAGGATCCTATGGGGTCAATCCTGGGTCTAGTATTATTTAATATTTTCCATTAACAATTTGGATAAGGCAATGGAGAGCATGCTTACAAAATTTCCAGACAACACCAAGGTGGGAGGAGTTGGAAGTATTGTGGAACTCAGGATTAGAATTCAAAAGGACCATGACAAATTGGAGAATAGGACTGAATTCAACAAGATTAAATTCAATAAAGGCAGTGAAGTAATTTGCACTTAGGAAGCAAAAACCAAATGTACAACAAAATGAGGAATAACTGGGTTGGTGGTAGTACTGCTGGAAAGGATTGGCAGAAGGTTAAAGTGGATCCACAAATAAAATGCGAGCCGTCAGTTGATGCAGCTGCAAAAAAGGCTAATATTCTGGGGTGTATTAACACAAAAGTTGTAAGTAAGATGAGAAAATCATCACACTCCGCTCAGCACCAGTGTCCAGTTCTGGGTATCACACGTTAGGAAAGATGTGGAAAAATTAGGAAGAGCCCAAAGGACAGCAACAAAAATGATCAAAGGTTTAGAAAACCTGACCTATGAGGAAAGGTAAAAAAATCAGGCTTGAGAAAAAGACGAATAAGGGGGTACCTGATAATAGTCTGTAAATATGTTAAGGGCTGTTAGAAAGAGGAGTGTCATCAATTGTTCTCCGTGTCCACTGAAGGCAGAACAAGAAATAAAGGGTTTAATCTGCAGCAGGGGAGATTTAGGTTAGATATTAGGAGGTTCTGGACTCCCCAACAGAGGTTTTTAAGAACAGGTTGGACAAACATCTGTCAGGAAAGGTCTCGGTTTACTTGGTCATGCCTCAGTGCAGGGGGCTAGACTTGATGACTTTGAGGTCCCTCCCAGCACTATATTTCTATTATATTCCCCACATCATCTGAAGGCGGAGGACACCAACTCAGCCTATGAGTGCCTTCTTTGCAGCACCATTCCCCCTTTCTCCCAGTAGGACTTGAGAAACCATCATCCACTGTGAAGCACAATACTGACTGAGTCCACACTGATTTAAGATTCCTCCTCCATAATCTGAGAATACCATACCAAGAGGGAAATTTTGGATCATCAGAATCTTTTAAGACAACCCATAACTCTTAACACAACTATGCTACTATGGAGATACAAGAGGGCCTGAGGTACTGCAGAAGCACAAGGCCTCCATACAAATAGCTCTGATCCAGTGGATCCCTGAAATAATGGGTAAATCCAGAGCCAGATCCACAAGGATAGACTCACTGTTTTGCGGCTAGTGTTCCCCCCTTTCAGTTATACACAGTCCTAGTATATCTTAGCAACTTTTCCACATAATTAAAACACACCAGCAGTACAAGTTTGCATCTCTCTGCATGATTCAACCTGGAAAAAAAGACACTTGGTTTTTGATGTTTCTTGAAAAGTTTAAGCTTATGGTCGTACCTTTAACGCTCCATCAGGAACAGGGAATTTGAATTAACATTTTGATGAAACATGGGTGGGTCTCTCAGCTCTGCATTTCATCCAGCTTGTCATAAAAAGCTGAGAATGTGCACCAAACTTTGAAGTTATTTATAACTATGTTTCCAAAAAGCATTAGGTTTTTAAGATTTCTCCCCTCACTACACCCACACAACACCTGCAACAAAACAAGCTATTTGAGAGATGCAGAAGAGAGTAAACTGAAAAGCTTTACCAAAATCAAGTGACAGTATCCACTTGACCATAATGTACAGAGACAATGCTGTCTTAAGAAGGGCCAATTGTTACCATATAGCATTGTCAGTGCATATGAAGATTATATACTGACTTGACACAGAAGAAAATGAGGAAGGATGGAGAGAACCTACTGAGATGGTTGGGGGAAGGGGGATGCCTTGCAAACAAGTCAGGATCCCCTTATTAAAATACTTTTCATCCAAATTGCCTAGCACGCTATTGGTACTGTTAAATTAATGCTACATTAAACACTTTTTAGCCTTGCAAGAACATGACTGAGTTCTTTCATGAAGCTATTCAAAACATTTCTTATCCTAATTTCAAGTCTGCCTAGGGCTAATTTAATTAGATATGGAAAAATTTTAGCATACTTTCATTTCATAAAACTTTGGTTTGATGTAAGATGAGTTTACCATTCTTACAGTATTGAGAAAGGTTTGGTGAGTCAGACAGAACTTGAGTAAAATCTGAATGTGTGTCTGCCTCAAATTCTTTACTTTTCAACTCAGCTGCTATAAATACTCCTCCCAGCCATAAACACAGAGAGCAGCTGCCCAGCCCTCAAGTCACACTGGTCTCTGCATTTGTATATTTACAGCAGAGAGGATTAACTCAGAGACAAAGCTAAAGCTATACATGTTTTGCAGTTTAAGGTCTCTCAAGTTTTAATTAGTTTAAAAAAGAGGGTTATTAAGTACTCCGCACATGCATGTTTTCAGTTCATCAGAATCAAAATATTGCAGAGCTTAAGCCACAACCATTTTCTGTTACCCATTCTTTTGAAACTGGGATGTATTCTCATGTAGTTTCAAAACACAACGCAACAGATGGGGTTAAAACACCATTTGTGTTTAACTCAAATGTGATTATAATATATCTCAAGAGAACAATGCTGCCATGTTTAATGGAAATTGGATGTTACATTTTTACCTAGCAAGCCACAGCTCTGAAGACAATACTAATAATTTATAGTAAAGTTACTTTGGAGATCCTTCAAATAGTTCATTGTTTAAGCACCTTCTATCAGCTAAAGGCAACAGAAGTAAGAACTCCAGAAGACTCCACAGGATATCCACAAAACTCAGGCAATGCAGTAGCAATTGTTAGATGCTATTGATCTGAAGCTGAGATTGTTTAAAAGCATGAGAGAGACTGGGAGGGGAGAGAAATCAAGGTAGATGTTGAAGTGACAAATTTGTTAGTAGGCCATGCAAGTTAACAGATGTATTTAACAACAATTCAAACTGAAACAATGGTAAATATTAAAGCAAACTTAGTTTTATCTTTTAAACTGGTCTAGAGCTAGCCAGTGTATCTTGTGGAATGACGTTATTACTCCAGACAAAGAACAGAATCTGATGCACCAGTCTCATTAGCGGGGCACCCACTAGGGCCTGCAGCAAACCAAGAGGCTCATGCAGACATTTACAGTGCACTGGAACATGGTATCCAGACGCATGTTAGGTTGGAGGGAGCGGCAGCCTCCCATCCAGGCCTCCATGCGTCTCCAACACGTTACTCTGCAGCAAAATGGTGGCCGCTGGGAAAAACTGAGGAGAAAAAACCCCACGGACGTCCTGGCTTGGGGTGGTGCCGAACTCCTCAGCCCCGAACGCGCTGCGCAGAGAAGCAGCGCTGCCCTGCCGGGGGCTGCTAGCCGAGGCTCAGCGGAAAGGGGTGGAGGCCCAAGCATGACAAAGCATCGGCCCGAGAGGGCGCTCCTCCCCGCAGCCCCGCGAAGGCAGGCCGTACCCACGGCTCCGCCGGCCATGACGGCTCCCCGACGAGACAGCAGGCGCAGGGCCTGCGACCCTCGCCGCATACAAAGGGGGGGGAAAGGAAAATGGCGGCTGCTCCCCCACACACAAAGGAAGAGAGGCCTGGCTCCCTCCCGGGCGGGGCTAACTGCGCGCTGCATGCCGGGACCCGTAGTTCTCCCCCGCTCCGTCCCCAAGAGCCCCTCGGCAGGCCCCTCACAGGGCACCTCGCAACCCGTCGTCCTCCCCGCGCCCAGGCCCCACCAAGGCAGCACCGCCCAGGCCTTCATCCCCCAGCAGCGCTCGCGGGCTGCCCTGCTCGGCGGCTGCCGGGAGCCGTAGTGCTGAAACGGCCCAGGCCCCCGGCCCCGCGCAGCTCGAACTACACCCCCAGCAGTCCCCGCGGCAGGCCGCCGCCCGCGGCACGCTGGGACTCGAGCTGCTCAGGCCCCATCTTCGGCCCACAACCCGCGGGACCCCCCAGCGGCTTCCGCGCAGGCCGCGGCTTACCGCGCCGGGCCCCCTCGGCCTGCCCGCGCCTCCCCACAGGAAGCGCGGGGGAGGGGCTCTGCCCGCTCGGGACCGTTGGGCGGAGGGGGCGACGGAGACGCGAGCTCCCAGGCCACGCCAGCCCCTCCCGCCGCCCTCGGAGCTCACGGGGCCCGACTAGGCGGGTGCGGGCGCCCCAGGGCCGCTCCTCGGGCCGCACTTACCCCAACAGCTCAGCGCCCCCGCTCCAGCGCCGCCATGAGCAGCACGGCACAGCACGTAGGAATAAATCCCGGCCTCTCGCGAGAGACCCGTGGGGCGGGGCCGGCAACTAGGGAAGAATGCGCGTGCGCGCGGGGAACTCGATGAGGGGAACGCGCAAGCGCATAAAAGGACCCCCTCCCCCCCCCGGGAAAGTGCGCATGCGCCCCCCGGGCAGGGGGCGCTAGTGCGAGAAACGGAGCCAACGGGCGAGGGCCCCACGTGCCCAGGCCGCTGCCCGGGGGCGCGCTCAGCCGGGGGCGCGGCCGAGGGACCCCAGGGCCAGGCTGCAGGGCGAGGAGCGGCGACCCGGGTTCCCGCGAGCGGGGCGTGTCTCGGCTGAGTGCCCGGCGCGCTGCCGGCACGGCCCCTCGCCCGCATCCCGCACCGAGCGCCCGCTGCGCCGGGGCCGCTCAGCGACAACCCCCGGCCCAACGCCGCGGCTCGCTGCCCGCGTGCGCAGACGGCGCTGGTGCGTTTTACAGCCGCTCAGGACTCGCCCCACCAGGCCTAAACGGCAGTGCTTCAAAGCGCTAGCTCGTCTGGGCTCGGGCTTCCAGTGAAGTTCATCAGTCTAGCCCCCAGTAAGGAATCCCTGTGAAGTTTTGCTGCTCTAGAAGAGGCAGCTGCAGTTGTGTAACGTCTGTATTTGAAAGCATTCAGTTCTAAGCGTTTGAAAATTATTTACAATAACTTACAAAGCTACAGCGTGCTCTACTATCCAGAATGAAAGTACTATTTCAAAATAGCCTTTCAGTGTCAGTCATGAGACCCGAAAGCGCAGATCGTGCCCCACGCAATAGATCTATTCCTGGAAATGTCCATACTGTGTTACAGACAGCTGTTCCACTTTTTTGGATTGTTAACAAGGACATGAGACGCAGCACTACAAGTAAAATGCAGGATTCCTTTGCTCACAGAAAAGCCTGAAATAACTAAGTGAGCTGTCCCTCACGAAAGCTTATGCTCAAATGAATTTGTTCATCTCTAAGGTGCCACAAGTACTCCTTTTCTTTAAAGAAACCAAAGATACCTTTGCTGCATGGATTTGTCCTGTTACTCTTAAGGGTCAGAAATGTTCAGACCTGAAAGTGAAAAAAACCTAAATAAAATTATTAGGAATAGAAATAAGGATTTATGATAGCTGTTCTCTACAAGTTTTTTCTATTGGGCCCTACTTTGTCTAAAGAGACATTTCACAGTTTTGAAAGAAGGGGTTGTATCCTTTCTCTCCATGGATTAAAGTGCTAAGTAGAAAGCAACAGGAAGAACAAAGTGGTCTTTCAGATGTGGCTAGCCCCTGTTTAAACTTGTGTTGATAGGAAGGGGGGGAGTAGGGCTTTTCTATTGTTAGCCGCCAGTTACACAACTTCCAGAATCAATGGCGATAAGAGCACTTCACTCTTACGACAGAGCTACAGTAGGAGAGTATATGCTTTCACACAATATAAACATACGTAATTTTACCAATTCACAGCCCTGGTATTACAGTAAAACCCATCATGTGCTAGAGGGTATGTGGACATATAAGAATACAATCCTGTACCCCAGAGAGCTTGCAATGTAAAAGCATTCAGAGCATGTTCCTCAGTCAAATCTGACAGATGGCTGGAATTCCTCAGGAGACACTGCTGCAGAGATACGTCACCCTCTCATAGAAATCAAAGCCCACATTAGTGGAACTAACTCTTTCTCTCTTTCTGGAGGCTGAATTTTCTTATGCAAACTGGATATCTGTGCACAGAGCACTCATTTTTGTTTTGCCTCTATTATAACTTCTAAATAATTAGTCAAAGTAATTACATTGCATGGGGTTACAAGTGTTGGTAGATATCCATCTATATGAAGTATTACCATGTGACTGTGCTTTAAGAGATTTATTTCAAGAAAAATAAAAAGCCAATATACATACATGATATATCTGAGATGTAAAGAAAACTATTTCAAGTTGGCTGACTGATTAGAGCAGGCAAATGAGAGAAAGAATTATCCTAGCACACCCCAGTAACACTAATTTATTTATAGTATCTTCTTCCTTAGAATATTTACAGTGTAAATCAGAATCAAACAGACTGAGCATGTATCTGCTCATTATAGGAACTCATTTGACACTGAAAGTGGCACTGATGGCATATTTAAAAGGCATAAAGCTACAACTGGTGCTAAGGAACAACTGAACCAGTTTCTACTAATTAGTCTATGTTTGTACAGCACAGCAGAGCAGCAATTTTCCTGTCAATTCCAAGTTCTGTACTCAGGATCCCAGGTCCTGGTGGTTGCAGTACGGTCATCCAGGAGGTGGAGTCTGAGAAAGGTGCCAACTTATTTCTCAGCACTTCCACTGAGGAAGATAAATTGTGGGAAGGGAAAGAACAGGGAGGTATTTTGCTCTTGGACCAAAGTTCAGATGCTGTGCTGAAAGGTTGGATTTTCAACAGTTAGGCACCTAACTCAGTGACTTCAATGGGAGTTGAGCACCCTTATGCTCTTCTGGAAATCCCTCCAATAGCAGTAAGTCAAAGATAACAATACATTTAAGGTCACACATTCTACAGTGAACATTTACGTTTAGAAAAGTGGAATAGCAGAAGTACTCATTAAAACAGCACCCTCTTGACCCCTCTTCCTAGTAAGGATTTCAGTGGTGACTGTCTGAGAAGGCAACTGCTGCTCAGCTTCCAATTTCTTAAACTCCACATCTTAATCAAGCTGCTGTACAACCCAGTGTAGTGTCATGAGTGTGGAATATCTCACAGCACACATTACCATAAGAGCAAGATCCATAATAAATAATTATTCTGTTTGCAGCTCTACACTGAAGCGCTATGGTAAAAATGACCTTGAATACAGAAAAATTCTGTCTGGTCTCAAAGCACTCACTGAGTTATTCAGAAAAATAGCATTCTAGGTTATTTCATTTATTCTTCAACTGAGATGGAAGAAAGGAGAAGAGAGAATTTTTCTCCCATTATTTTCCTTTCCAGAAGTCCCTTGTCTCTACCCAACTCACACTTGCCAAAGATGTCCTGGGGTGAGGGAAGGAATTCTCTCCCAATCAAAAACATAAGGCCTACATCCACCTGTGTCCAACAAAAACCTCACTCTCAGAAGAGGATGAAGTAAAAACTACACTCTTGCTGGAACTGAGAAGTTTAGTATTAATTCATGAAAATAAATCTTTTGAATACTTGCTAACAGGGATAGACAGCTTGCATTTAAAAATTTATCGTTTCTGGATTAAGAGTGATGCTTTTAAACATTACCTAGTTTTTTGGGCTTTGGGTGTGTTCACTCCTTCCAACACAAGAGCTAGAAAACACGCAAAATTACAACTCTGCCATTCTCTGGGTCTGTTTACAATAAAAAGCAGAGAGTCTGTAGTTAAGTGACATTGTTAACCCAGCCAAATGCTGTGTGGAGAGTTATTTAAAGCAAAATTACAAGAGTGATGTTTAATATTTACAAGAAAACTTCTCCAATAAACGTTTTCACTCATATATATAAGAAAAAAAATCACAACTTGTAAAATGTTCTATAACCACTGATGAAGTGAGAATGCTAAAGTAGATTTGAATTGCAGGCCACAGAGTTAGATGTCTCCCATTGGGGCTGATCCAGAAACATTCTTCATGAGAGGAAACAAACAATTGCAAGGAGTATAGCTGCATAAATACCACATTGTTAAGCTGCTGTATACTGTTAAGACTGAGCAGCAATACAAACCCTTGCCATTAGAGGGTGACATGAGACAGGGATATCAGGAAACACATGAAGTAATAAAACAGAACTAAGATAAAATGTTTTCCTATACGGTGGTTGGTTTCCATAGAGTTTTGAAAGTCAAGAGTTTGGAGAGAGAGTTATTGTGTGACTTGAGATGCAATGTCAGGCAGCTCCTCTCGCCTCACCTCGATAGTTTCTTTGCTGATGGATAACAGCTCCCGCAGCTCTTTATTTTCAAGCTGCAAAAATCGATATATTGGCTAAAACAGAAATGAACTAATTCATAATTAAAATGTCAGTACTAAAGAGCTCTAACATACTGAAATTGTACAGTGGAGAACAACTCTGCACTGGCAGAGAGGGGAACTAAATAACCTAAGATGTCTTTTCTATCTCTTAATTCTACACATACAGACACCCCCCACACACCACAGAAGAACCTTGGGTGAATGGAGAGACATAGGGGCTGTGCTCTTTATTTCACTTTTAAATGTTTTAATTTGGTGCCCAATACACAAAAATAGTGAGCACAGATGGGATATCCCTCGGTCTCTTACTTTCTGCTCTCCATAAATAGAAAAAGCATTTTAGAACAGGATTAGTGCATCCTATACAAAACAGCAGCCTTTATGAAGTAAAATCCTTGTTGCTAACTGCTACAGAAATATTAAATATAGAAAGACGTGTCTTTCTAAAGTCGTTTGCTATTTGGTGAGTTTTTTTTATAACATTTACTTACTGTATGCAAAATTTAAAGAGATCGTTAGGATTTCCCTTTAAAAAGCCAGCCTGGGTCATATCCTGTATGAAGCAGAAAGGATTTCTCTGAATCAGTCAATATCCCAAAACCTCACCCTTAGTGAGTATGAGTAGGCAACAGGTCCATCCCACAACCAACTTCACAGCCACACCAAGATCTTACCTCCAACTGGGCTAGTTTTTCCTGAATTTTACAGAATTGATCATCATCCATCTGAACAGCTTTTCTCATCACTTCCCCCATCTCACAGATTCTGTCCACGTGACTCTCAATTTCCTGCAAATACATTGAAGCAGGACAATACTATGCTCAGTTGACAGTGGCACCGTTTTACATCTTCTAAATACTTTTCCAATAGCGACAAGTAGGACTACGTCCCTTCTTGAATGAAGTTTATGTATTTTATTAGTTCCTTTTTAAAATGTAGATTTTGTTAAGCTGAAGTTGGCTTGGAACTCTGGGTTACTGTTGCAGTGTTTATAGGAAGGAATGGAAGGTGCAGGAGGTCCCATGGCTTATGGAATCAGGAAGGATATTTCAGAGCAGAGTTGTTTGTGGGAAAGGATACAAAGTAAGCATAAAGGTAAATGATAGTGGCAGAGCACAGGGTTTTTAAAGTACAGACTTTATTCCCAACACTTGGCAGAAATAGGTAAAATAATGATTACCGCTCTCCCCAACTTACCACAGAATGAGCAACATGCACTTTTAGGACAGGCTCAGCATCCACATCTTTTCTTCCCATTATTAAATGTAACATCTGCTTCCTGTACTTGCTCATGATAAGTTCCAAAGCATCTTGATGTTCCTCCAAGGAGATCCACAACTCTACAACATACAATACAATCATCATGAAACAACAATTTTGAAGGGCACCTTCCGCACTACAATTATATGAGGTTACCTTCCATTATACACACAGACTTAATAAAGACAAGTTCCTAGCAGGTGGATAAAATCTCCCACGCTTCCTGTTCAATTAAGTTACTTTAAAAAGAACATACTGTAAAGTTTTCAAGCAACCCAATTTCCCTCCACCTTGAATTGCACATTTAATTACAATCTAGAGAGAAATAAACCAATACATTACACTATGATGGAAAAGTTACTGGCCTCAGAACCCTGAAGTTTTATTTATACAGCAAAAAATTTTATTCAATATAATAGGCTCTAGAGAAGAAATAGCCTTTTCATAGGAGATGGATGCCTTTATTTTCATTGTTCCTCAAGTCATTACAGGTACTTCCAAAATGCACGTTTCTAAGCTCCCACCTTTAACACACTTTCTTCATAATAAAACCCCATCAGGAAACTCCACTGAAGGGATTCTTTCTTCTGAGACTTTAATGACAGGGTTAAGAAAGTTCCAAATCATAATGACTTTCCCTCAGTTATACCACTTAAGAATTATAAGAAGCCACTAGGTAAAATGTAAAGTCATAATTGTTGTCAATGCCTTACCTTTGCACATACAGTTAAGCACAAGATGCTAGGTATTTTAGCACATCTGCATTCCCTTTCAAGTTATGCTGTTTATAGGTATATAATTTACTATTCTAAAGGTTCTAGGCATTCAAGTGTGAAGAGCAATCATGTAGAGCTAGACTACTAACCTCTGTTTTCCTGTTGCAAGTCTCTGATCTGTGTGTTTTCTTGTGATAGCAAGATGTGAGGTTTGTATTTAGATGTGTCCTTCAGATCAGCTGCATCTTCTTGGTACTTGAAAAACAAAGGGACACTTTTACCAAGGATAACAACATTTGTATAACTCTTTTGCATAGAAGAATGGTGTCTCCTGCACTAACCTTTTCTGACAGTGACGTTCCAATCTCCTTCATGGCTGCCACCCGTTTATGGAGGACAGTAGACTGATCAATGAGAGACTCTGCTGCATTATCATGGTCTTTCAGCCTTTCAAGCAAAGTCTTGGCATCTGTTAAGATCTTCTCTATCGTGCAGGTCATAGTGAGCACTGAGAACAAACAGCGGCAGTAGGTACATATCAGGCACCTGCTTCCCGTGCAGGAAACGCGCCCTCCTGCCTCAGGCGAATTAACAGGAGATTGGCCTGGGACATGTCTGGGGAGGCCGGAATGCCGAGGACACGACGCTGGGGGCGTCTGCCCCCGGCCCGCTGGCTTCCCCTCGCCCCTGCAGCACACGAGGGAACTGCCCGACCGCGGCTCCCCCGGCGGTTGCCAGCTTTCAGCGGATGAATTCCTAGCGGAATCACCACATGACATTACCTTTAATTGAAGATTAATCTTTTAATTCCTGGAGACTCCAGGACAATGCGAGAGGGGTTAGGAACCTACCCACGCCCCCCCAGCGCAACCCCCCCGCAGCGCGGCTACACTCCCCCAGGCCGAGCGGGACGAGATCCAGTCCCGGCCGGAGGGCGCTGAGGCGGCGCAGGGGCTGCGGCCGGGCTCGGGTGGCTGGCTGAGGCCGCGGTGATGGGCGCCGCTTAGGCCCCTCCCACAGCCGTAGGGCGGCCGCCATGGGGGCGGGGCACCCTTGGACACTCACCTCCTCAGCCGTCGCTTCCGCGTCCCCACCCGGTCCTGCGGGACAGCGCATGCGCGGTATCTCCCCGGGACGGGTCTTGGCACCCCAGCGCGACGGGCACCTGCGCATGCGTAGTTTCCTCCCTGGCTTGAGCGCAAGAGCGCATGGGCAGATCTCTCCCCACCCTTCACTCAGGGTCACGCCGGAGTCATTGGTGCAGCGGCGGGTCCGTGTGGGCGGGGTCCCCCATGATAACCCCCGACCTCTGACCCCGCTCCCACCCTGGGACCCCAGCCCTACCCCCGGCCCGCGCGGGGCCTGCTCAGCCGGCATCCATCGGCAGCGCGCGGCGCCCTCCGGCTCCGCCCGGCGGGCTGTCCCCATGGCCCGGCGACACCGGAGACCGTGCCTGGCCTGCAACCTGTTCGCCAGGGACCCCTGGCGACGGGGCAGGTCCAAACCCGGCGGGCAGACTGTGGGGCTGGCGATGAGGGAATGGTGGGGATGAAACGGGAGACCCATTCCTCTCCCCAGACTCCCTGGGGATTCTACCGGAGACCCGTCCCCCCCCCCCCCCAGCGCTCCTGGGGATTCTACCGGAGACCCGTTCCCCCCCCCAGCGCGCCTGGGGATTCTACCGGAGACCCGTTCCCCCCCCCCCCCAGCGCTCCTGGGGATTCTACCGGAGACCCGTCCCCCCCCCCCCCCCCAGCGCTCCTGGGGATTCTACCGGAGACCCGTCCCCCCCCCCCACCCCAGCGCGCCTGGGGATTCTACCGGAGACCCGTCCCCCCCCCCCCCCCAGCGCGCCTGGGGATTCTACCGGAGACCCGTCCCCCCCCCCCCAGCGCTCCTGGGGATTCTACCGGAGACCCGTCCCCCCCCCCCCCAGCGCTCCTGGGGATTCTACCGGAGACCCGTCCCCCCCCCCCCCCCCAGCGCTCCTGGGGATTCTACCGGAGACCCGTTCCCCCCCCCCCCCCCCAGCGCTCCTGGGGATTCTACCGGAGACCCGTCGTCCCCCCCCCCCCCCAGCGCGCCTGGGGATTCTACCGGAGACCCGTCCCCCCCCACCCCAGCGCGCCTGGGGATTCTACCGGAGACCCGTCCCCCCCCCAGCGCTCCTGGGGATTCTACCGAGACCTCCCCCCCCCCCCAGCGCCTGGGGATTCACAACCCCCCCCCCCCCCCCCAGCGCCCTGGGGATTCTACCGAGACCGTCCCCCCCCCCCAGGCGCTGGGGATTCTACGAGACCGCCCCCCAGGTGGGGTCACCGAACCCCCAGGCTCCTGGGGATTCTACCGAGCCGTTCCCCCCAGCGCTCCTGGGGATTCTACCCCCCCCTCACCCCCCCCAGGGTGGGGATTCTACGGAGACCCGTCCCCCCCCCCAGCGCGCCTGGGGATTCTACGGAGACCCGTCCCCCCCCCCAGGGCCTGGGGATTCTACCGGAGACCCGTCCCCCCCCCCCCTTTCTACATCCCCCCCCCCCCAGCGCGCCTGGGGATTCTACCGGAGACCCGTTCCCCCCCCCAGCGCTCCTGGGGATTCTACCGGAGACCCGTCGTCCCCCCCCCCAGCGCGCCTGGGGATTCTACCGGAGACCCGTCGTCCCCCCCCCCCCCCCCAGCGCGCCTGGGGATTCTACCGGAGACCCGTCCCCCCCCCCAGCGCTCCTGGGGATTCTACCGGAGACCCGTTCCTCCCCCCCCCCACCCCAGCGCGCCTGGGGATTCTACCGGAGACCCGTTCCTCCCCCCCCAGCGCGCCTGGGGATTCTACCGGAGACCCGTTCCTCCCCCCCCCCCCAGCGCGCCTGGGGATTTGTTAGCCGACGGCCAAGGATGTTTGGTGAGGTGCCAGCTATGCCCGTTTATACCATCCGTGACTTTAACCGCTAGGACGCACTGTCCCTTCGCGGCGGGCAGCCCGGGCTAGGCTGACGGATGCCCCAAGGTCCTAACCACCCGTGACTTTAACTGCTAGAGCTCAGAGCTCCTTCGCAGCGGGCAGTCAATACTGACTGACAGGTGCCCCAATGGCAGCACTAAGAGCCTCTCCACACCCGTGACTTTAACTGCTAGAGCTCAGAGCTCCTTCGCAGCGGGCAGCCAGGATTGACTGACAGGTGCCCCAAGAGTTTGCCCCGTGGAGGCGGCACAACTCAGCGCTAGGCTCTTAGTACTCTCGCCTAATGGCCAGGCTTTAGAGCCAAAACGGCTGAGGTTCTTTAATTGTGATGGCTGCTTTACAGTAAACCAGAGAAAACAAGTCAGGCTTATGCATAAATGGTTACCAAAATTTATTAAGCTAGATTCTAATCATGTGGTTACAAAATTGCTAGTGCCTACTTATTTAAATGTAGAGATGTTACACACACACAAACAAGTTGCAAAACTGAAGCCACAATCCCAAAGAAAGAAAACAAAGTATAGAGCTGTATTTCAAAATATGTGTACACTAAAGATAGGAGATCAGGTGTGGGTGCTTCTTACCCTCCTTGCATCTCTCGATTCCAGCGGTGCCAAGCCAGGATCGGTCACTCAATTCCGCGGAAAGACGAATAAGGGACAAGGCGTAGGGACCCTCTTAGCTGCAGAAGCCTTGGGAGGCTGTCACTTATCTGACCAGCAGATAGATAGTGAAAAGCACTCCAAAAATCATGGTGCTGTAGGTCCCCTACTTATACCTCTGTACTCCTTTATTCTCTTTCTCCTTTCTTATGCCAAATTGAGGCTGGTCTGTCGGGGTGACGCCAGCTTTTGCAAGAGTAGTTTACACTTGAAAGGGAGAGAAACAATAAGTTTCGACTACTGGACATTTCTTTTATCAGGGTAAATATTTTCCCACCTAGGATGTTGGTGTGTGTGCATCACGCTACTTAGTAGGGGCTAAGAGCCATGTCTGTCACAGGGCCTCTGCCTGCTGTGAGCTTAATGTCGTATCTGTTCCCAGAGGCACATTGTAGCAGCACACCTGTGCTTCAAAGGCTGTGCTGGAATATATGTTAAGTGCCCTGTTCCTGCTTCCTCCTGTGTTTCCAGCAATGCTGGTCTGAGGGGGGGGGGCTGGCTGTCTGGCTACAGGATTCTACCGGAGATCCGTTCCTCTCCCCAGACTCCCTGGGGATTCTACCGGAGATCCGTTCCTCTCCCCAGCGCGCCTGGGGATTCTACCGGAGACCCGTTCCTCCCCCCCCAGCGCGCCTGGGGATTCTACCGGAGACCCGTTCCCCCCCCCCCAGCGCGCCTGGGGATTCTACCGGAGACCCGTTCCTCCCCCCTCCCCAGCGCGCCTGGGGATTCTACCGGAGACCCGTTCCTTCCCCCCCAGCGCGCCTGGGGATTCTACCGGAGACCCGTTCCTTCCCCCAGCGCGCCTGGGGATTCTACCGGAGATCCGTTCCTTCCCCCCCAGCGCGCCTGGGGATTCTACCGGAGATCCGTTCCTTCCCCCCCAGCGCGCCTGGGGATTCTACCGGAGACCCGTTCCTTCCCCCCCCCCCCAAGCGCGCCTGGGGATTCTACCGGAGACCCGTTCCTTCCCCCCCCCCCCCCAGCGCGCCTGGGGATTCTACCGGAGACCCGTTCCTCCCCCCCCCCCCAGCGCGCCTGGGGATTCTACCGGAGACCCGTTCCTTCCCCCCCCCCCAGCGCCTGGGGATTCTACCGGAGACCCGTTCCCTTCCCCCCCCCCAGCGCGCCTGGGGATTCTACCGGAGACCCGTTCCTTCCCCCCCCCCCCCCCCAGCGCCTGGGGATTCTACCAGAGATCCGTTCCTTCCCCCCCAGCTTGCCTGGGGATTCTACCGGAGATCCGTTCCTCCCCCCCCAGCGCCTGGGGATTCTACCGGAGATCCGTTCCTCCCCAGCGCCTGGGGATTCACCGGAGATCCGTTCCTCTCCCCAGCGCGCCTGGGGATTCTACCGGAGATCCGTTCCTCTCCCCAGCGCGCCTGGGGATTCTACCGGAGATCCGTTCCTTCCCCCCCAGCGCGCCTGGGGATTCTACCGGAGACCCGTTCCTCCCCCCCCCAGCGCCTGGGGATTCTACCGGAGACCCGTTCCTCCCCCCCAGCGCTGGGGATTCTACCAATCCCCCCAGCGCGCCTGGGGATTTGTTACCGAGGCCAAGGATGTTTGGTGAGGTGCCAGCTATGCCGTTTATACCATCCGTGACTTTAACGCTAGGACGCACTGTCCCTTCCGGGGGCACGGGCTAGGTGACGGATGCCCCAAGGTCCTAACCACCCGTGACTTTAACTGCTAGAGCTCAGGCTCCTTCGCAGGGGCAGTCAATACTGACTGACAGGTGCCCCAATGGCAGCACTAAGACTCCCACACCCGTGACTTTAACTGCTAGAGCTCAGAGCCCTTCGCAGGGGCAGCCAGGATTGACTGACAGGTGCCCCAAGAGTTTGCCCCGTGGAGCGCACAACTCAGCGCTAGGCTCTTAGTACTCGC